GGATGGAAAAAAATAAAAGAAATTTCTGGTTACATACTCGATGTCTGTATAAAAGATTTCAACACCAGTTATAAAAAAAAACTATGCATCGTGTACGGAAAACCATTATATACTATATCTATGCGGAAAACGGTCTCAATTGTCATCTTATTAAAAAAGAAGTAAGAGCCTATGTACATTATGTAAAATATGCGTATTTTTATGCAAAAGTTTACTGGCTGCGCCTGAATCTCGTTTGAATCGCGTTATCTACGTGTCGTCGTCCACACGTAAAAAATATGCCATGTGCATAGACTCTAAAGTGAATCAACTTCAGTGTGTACCGCTGAAAAAACACAGCAGAGTACATATCAACCACAAGCACTTGATTTTTTTAAAGTAGTGTAGTCACGTTATATGAATTAAGTTGATACAAAAATGGTACGAAACGAAGCGAGCAAAAATTGTCAATATTTAGTAGAAGGTCTAAAAATCTTGTTTTTAAATAAGTACTTATGAATAAAACTCATTATCGACCTAGGCTTCGCTTAGCCTGTTTTGCCTTTTAACCGTCAATATCATATCTTATTATCATATTACGATAAATAACATTCACTTGATAACCGAACGTTAAAGGGAATTCCCATTCATCAGATTCTCAGTACAAGACAGTTGTTAACGTACCTACTAGGTACACACATAAATATACTATTCCATTAGTACAATGTCTTGTGCCGTTTCCGTAAGTGGCGGAATATTTCGACAACTCTGAGCGCTTCGCCAGGTAGGTACAGGATTAAGAACACGTCAAGCGTGACACTGAAGATTTAATTTCATCTCTATGCCGCTTATAAATAAATAAAAACAATCCAAATTCTGAAGTGTGAAGCTTGATGGACTCTCGAGTGTAGGCAGCTGAAAAGCGTCATTCCAAGTAATTTTGTTCACTTTTCATTTTCAATATTTGGACATAATTTTGTGGACGAGAATTTACGGTGTGTTTTGTGTATATCGTTTTAATTTGAAAAATTATAGTGAGAAGTACTGTGTTAATGTTTAGCGCAAAATTTTGTCGGTACGCATAAAGAAAAATTTCTCTTTAATTATAACTGCTTAATAACATCTAAGTTTGATTTTATATTTCTTTGCTGGCAGCTGGTTACAAATAAAGAAAAATCATTTTTAGATAATTTTCCCTGTGAGAAAAACACACATTCAAAACTGAATACACGCATAGTTATCATGACGGCCGAAGGGATTTTGCTTTTTATTAAACTAGAAACTAAACAACAGACGCAAAAAAGTAGTTACATGGAATATTCCTAGATCAGATCCTATTAGACTGCATGGAATTGCTCTTGGTACATACCTAAAACATTTTTACAACACAAGACAGGTTTGTTTTTGCAAAAAACAAAAGTAGCCTACGCCCAGTACAGTCGTGTTACCAATGCTTAAAGTTGTTTCTAAATCGCTATGCCACCGATATTTAGTTACTATTGATTAAAGAATTAAAGTCTACTGTTTATATAAATTTAGTTCTGCTGTAAAATGTTGTAACTTATTTTTTTATTATTTTCAAATAGTGTGTATAATAGTTTTTGTTACGTAACTATATTGTTTCTGTACAGGGTGGTGTAGTCGTGGTTTTACCAGATAATAAAAGAGAAATAATCCATTATGACACGACTTTGCACGGTCAAGGTAGTACCTACCTACATGGGTAGTACTTGCGGCACGGGACACCGCGACGGGGAGACGGGTGCACGCGGCGGGTCAATGAATCCCGTCGCGTGCACGCACCAGGGGATCCCGGCGCGGGGTCCCGTTTCACGCCCTAAAGAAACCTTCATTTTAAAAGAAAACTACCAAAAATACTTACAAAACCGTAAGTAATAGAGGTTGAAGTATGAAATTGCCATTCTATTGTATATAGGAAAATTCAGACAAAAAATAGTTTTAGACACAAAATAACATTCATTTAATCCTCTAAGATTTAATCTAAACATTTAATATAGTACATGTATGAATACGCGTCGCGTACATACACGTCGTCAATGTTTCAAATCGTTTACGTTGCATGAGTGCCATATCAAAACACGTATTCAAAAATTACGTGTTAAAATTCGTGAATCTTAGCACTACCAATGCCTGATTTCAAATCGAACTCGAAATGAAGTAAAGGGAATATTAAATAACAATTTTTTTTAATTCGACAATATGGGAAAATCCGAAACCATGGAAGATACAAGGAAACTGTCTTAGGAACCATTGAGTCGTTTTTCATAAAAACAATTTTGCCATAGTCAATTTTTGGCCAAGCGGAGTTGTCAATGAAATTGATCAAAATTTTTTAGTGCTGATCGACTAACTTTTATGTAAGGATCATTTGATTGTATGGGACGAAATAAATCGAGACAGCACAAGTTGGTCAAACATAAAATGTTTTTCATACAATTTTAATGCTGATAGACTCAGCTTCTTATAAGAATGATTTTATAAATTGATAATTTTTTTTCTTCTGCTGTCTCGATTTATTACATCTCATACAATAAAAAGAACCTTACATAAAAGTGAGTCGATCAGCAGTAAAAAAAATTGAAAAAAACATTTTTATGGACAACCAAAAAATTTACTATGCTAAAATTGTTTTTATAAAAAAATACTTAAAAGTTCAATTTCCTTGTATCTTCTATGGTTTCGGATTATCCCATACTACCCGATTTTAAAAAAACACTGTACCTATATACGAATAACATCAAAATTTTATTTTTTAAATTTAAGAACACTTAATATTTTATTTAAATCAGCATGCTATATACTAAAAAATCTTTATTCCATTTCAAAGTGGCTAGATCTACGGTTAGACATTTCATACTTTTACCAAGCTTTTACCCATCTTTTACCACTAATATCTACTTTTTTGCGTTCTCTAATATTGTCCCCCTGTTTATTTAAAGAAGTTCATAACTAATTTGGACATAAGTATGTAATATTGCATCAATATTCCAGAGACTCTGGTCTATACTTAAGTGCACACCTCATTTATCTTTAATTTCCTACACAAATTGTTGACTTTTATCATAATGTTTGCAACAAATCGCAAGCTCTTCAAGAATAACTCAGCTCCATAATTTATTAGCACCGAACAAAGACATCTTCTAATCCATTAGGGAGTTAATTCCACATTGACAGAAAAGCCATTGTTACATCCTGTCAGAGTTATATGGCGTCTCTTCAAATAATAGCTAACTTGGTATAATAGCGTCCATAATAGAAGCGCTAGCGGGAATAAGAGCTACAACTTAGTTTTTATAACAAATTATACACGTTAACAAATATAAGAGGCTTATACAATGTAATAATCAGCTAAAATGCTTTTCGGGATATACTAATTCATTTTGTTTTCTTGCAGGAATTTCAGTATTTGTAAAACAAAAGTTATAAGGATTTTCGTGGTACTTGTTCTCTAATCCCATAGCTTATTGTATTAAAAGTACCTACATACTTACGCCGGATCAAATTACATCTCCCCACGCCCATGAAAACACGTGGAAAACCCATCAACTTACCGACGACGCCCCATTCAGTGTACGGTGTTTGTTACTAACTAATGGACCCTTTCTATAACCTGCCAATCAAATCTTGTATAAAAGGTATAGGAAAAATCTGTCTTCATTCAGTTATCCTGTGAAACCGGTGAGAAGCGGTCGCAGCCATGGTAAGAACTGTTTTCTATATCTTTATTTAAAATTATCAAAATTTTTAACTTACATCATGGGGAAACCCATCAATGCCTTCCACTTGTATTAAACTTATTTTGCTATAGTAGTGTAATATAATGACAAAGTGTGTAATGTATGTATTTGTATATATGTGCGTGGGTTCTTATATGTAGACACATACGACCGAAAAATTAAACATCCTAAGTTCTCGGAATCTTCATAATGTTGCATATGGTAAGCCTTTTTTTACCGCTACATGATTTCATCCGTTATTTATTTTGGCATTGTTGCCACTGTTAAACATCGATATATGTATCTACGTAAAGAAAAAAACTAGTTTCTGTGTACATTTATGTATATATTTGTGTATATTTAGGATTTCCGTTCGTTACATTCCCTTTGCAAAAGATTTCTCGTACAAATATAACGTTACGTTGTTTCAGTTAAGTGGATCTCTAACAATAGTCACAGCATGTTCCAGTTTCTTACTCATCATCCAAATATTTACACCGAAAGTGGTAGCGATGAGGAAATTACCAGATGCAGATGAATTTATGATCGAAAATCAAAGAACTAGGACCCACACAAGGCAGAATTATGTATTTCAGAGAGATCGTGACGAGGAAATGTCTGGTGGTATGGAGAACACAGGACCTGCTTATGTTACTGAACCGTTAGACCCTGATCCAAACCCTGAAGAATTGCCTGCTTTGATAGTGGATTATGCAAATATGATCAGAAATGACATTATATTATTAGATAATTCCGTCGAAACCAGAACCAGGAAAAGAGGAAATGTTAGGAGCAAATATGATGACGTAAGTTCATTGACCTACCAATGCAATGATCAAAATTAGAATACTATTACTTATAGTAGTAACCATTTATGTTACAGAGGGAAATTATGGGTCTACCGCCGTGCAGTTGCGAGTCTCACGTAAGTTTTTTTATTATTACTTCAAGTGACGCGACGAACAAGTTGTGCGCCTGATAGTAAGCTACACTTTTGAATAAATTTCATAGCGTAATCGATAGTAAGTTATAATAATAAAAAATCTGTTTTATACTCAGAGTAAAGAAATAAACCTCATAGAAAAATATGGAACTAGCGTATATCCTTCGACTCTGAAGACAACGCAATGCAACGACACTATGTGTTCAACTGGCTACCGTTGCAAACGAACCTACTACAATGTAAGTACATTGAAATATTACTAGACAAACTCGAGAGCTGTAGAAATTAAATAAAGATTAAATAGAATGTAGACTTTTAAATAACCAAATTTTTAGGTAGTATGAGTTCAAAAATATCTGAACATTGGATAAAAATTTAACTTATAAAAGTTTTTTATAAAGCTAGTGCACTGTCATTTGTTTTTAAACGAAATTCAATTATTTTAAAATCTGAACTGTCTCCATATAATTATGATGCTAACCGTACCTCAGTTTCTTCTTGAAGGGTGAATGTTGTGAACACTAAGTTGTTTTGCAGGTAATTGTTTTGAAAAAAAAGACAAGATCAAATGAGAAGGGTGATGACAAGCTCCCGGATGATTTCACCCTCTGGGTTGCGCTCAAAGAGAAAATCACTACTGGCTGCTCCTGTATTGTTGGAGGCTCCGAACTTAATTAAGCAATTAGTTTTTATCAATTATGTATTGTGCTCTATTTATTGTGTATTATAGAAAAATTCTATTTAGCATAGTTTGGTTTGAACATGCGTATTCATTGTACATATGATCGAGTTCTTAGGTTTTCAGATTGTTACACATAGGAAATTAAACATTTCTTAGAATCTGAATGGCGAAAATTTGTTTCTTCAAAGAAACCAACGTTTCGAACCCTTTACGTGGAGTCAGCCGTGACGAAACCCCGAAACGTTGGTTTGTTTGAAAAAATACAAATACGCCATTTAGATCCGAAAAAATAGTTTCATTTCGTATAAGATATTGAACTCCGCATGGAGAACACTAAATGTATGTAATGTAAAACTCAATTATTAATTATAGGAAGAATTTTATTCTAAAATTAATACTAACAAATATGTATGTACATTATGACAAGATAATAACGGAGACGTAGTATTAAGGCAATTAATTTATTATGACAACATAGCAAATGCATAAGTAACATATATGTGAATGAAAGTGAAATCGTACATAATAAATTAAAATCAAAGTAAATATAGACATGTTTCAACAAATTAAACGAATTACCTACGATACATATTACATGAGTGTTATTGAAAAACAATAATACTTGCTCCAAAGACTGACACTTCGGAAAGAAATTTCAGCTGATAAATTTAAAGAGTACAATTGTACTCTTTTAAAACCCTAATACTGCAGTCGCACTATCTACAAAATTCCTTATTCCCAATGAATAAGAAAGAACAATCAAACGAAAATAAGACTCATTTTATCTCATTACCAACACGCTACGGACAATAAATTCTGATATTCTACTAAAATGTTTTTCAATTTTGAATAGATAGATCCTCATACATAATCACGATTTTGCACAATTTTCTTCATCATCATAATCGCCAACCCATTGCTAGACGCGGATCTCTCTCTCAATTTTGTTTTCCATGTCAAAGGAACTTAAACCATTTCACAATTGTAAAGTAAATGCTTCCATATCAGCTTCTTAAAGTCCATTCGTAGATAGATGTGAGACCATTGTAAGTCTCCAACTTAGGAGATTGGCCCTGGGGGCCTGCTATGAGCTTCAAAAGAACCAGATAGGTTAGGTTCCATGCAGTTCAATTTACGTGGTAAAATTGATTTATTTAAATTCGTATCATGACTTGAACAAAGTTGAACGGCGCCTGCAGGGCAAGATGATGACTTAATGAGTTTCACTTTTTAAACATTAATTATTGTCTCTGGCCTGCTAATACCGTCACCTAAAGAGCGAGATTGATACAATGAATCATAATATTGAAATATAGAGAGCTATACTACCCTGGGAGCGTTAGGGGTGTTAACCGATTGTGTTCGAAAAGGGAAACGCTGTTACATAAAACAATATTATTATTGATTCAAAATACTCTATTTTACGATATCTGCAACTTTTCAAGCATACTTTACAATTTGTCGTAAGACAAAATTAAATATCGTGTCTTGACAACATCATTGATATTATTGTATTGCGTTTATAATTTGGTAATAGAAATCGAACGCATCTTGTATTCTTACATTTTTATTCAATATATAATTCCGCGAAGTGCCAGAAACAAAACAAAAAAAAAGCCGAATTCAAATTTGGCGCTATTTAAAATAACGTAGCGCAATCTACATGAAGCCAATAAAATTCAAAAAGATAATAAAGAATCATGAGTATATAACCAGAAATAGAGACGAAATAAGGGCCATCCATCCCTGGCAACGCATCAGGCATCGGGTCTTATATCACTTTTAAATATCAAGTCTCGTTTGCACTGAAATCACAAATTAGAAAGCTCAAATAGTACAGCGCCAACAACTAGCTTGTGTGTATTCCAAAAATATAAAGTAATAATAAGTTATTGTAATAAAGATAATATCTCTAACAATGGGGGGCTGTTCCATTCGGTGATGTGGGAAAAACAGCAAAACATCTAATTACAAAACAAACGGGATCACATTTCACCGGTAATTAAATATTGAATATGTAATTTTCAATTTTCGCCCATTATAGCAAAGCTCAAGTTAAACTGGTCGATTTAAAGTGAAACAATTGACGACATCCGTCAACTGTTTCGAATTCGGGCTGGCCAATCGGAGCGCAGTTGTCACCGTAATGATATGGCAGAATAGTTTTCAAACAAATTAAATGACATTTCGTCTCTATTTCTGGTTATATACGATACGATGTAAAAAATTAAGAACCAGTAAATGTAATCAAACTAAAAACGACATCTTGTGAAACCAATAAACACAAAACCTTCCATTTTTCACTTAGAGGATAGAAAAAATAATTTTTTCAAAAAATGCGTGTATCTTTTTGGAATTGCTTATTTTGACAGCTGAGACCAGTTTGCATTACACGATAAAATATAAATGACCCGTCACGATCCGATTTGACTATGAGATTGAACGGTCAAAGTGCTTTGCTATGATTTAAGTGTGCATGCTTCATCGTTGACCTCATGGTCACTATCCATCAGGTGAGATGGAGGTCAAATGTGCACGTATTTTTTAAAATTAATTTACCTGCCCTGTTTTTGTGAAGTCGTAATATGAATTTCACAGGTAATTCAATTTAAGCTCATAGTAGGCCCCACAGTTATATTTGTAAACAAGGAATTTAGTAAAGTCCGCAATTTAATCAATATCATTGTCGTACTAAATGTTTGCTTTAAAAAACGCTATTCACAATTATGTAAGTTTAATTGTATTCTGAAGTATGATGTACAGTCTCATGGGCAGCAGGTGGAGGTACCTCGGACATTTGTGGTGCGATTTGCATTATTGCCATGCGTGTCTCGTTTGCCATACCCATTTCGCGACGTAGAATATCCTCCGTCACTATGTGGATAGATTTGAACTTCAAATTGATACCATGCACTTTGAATACGTGATTGTTTAAATTCACCTTGTAGCTGAATGCAACATTGCATACCTGTAAAAGATTTTATCACCTTGATTTTTGTTTTCTGTTGTGTGGAAATTTTAAGGATTAGCAGACTATATGATTATACGTAGAGGAGTTTTGCATTGGATATTCTTTTTAAATAAGTGTGGGATGGGACTGACCTCGCACGTGAACGGCTTATCGCCAGTGTGAACGAGCGTATGGTTCTGCAGGTGGTGGCTTTGTGTAAAGCCCTTATTGCAGATGTCGCAGACGAACCGTTTGTCCCCCGTGTGAATTCTCATGTGACGCCGGAGCGACTGGTTCTGCAATGTGATACAGAGAGTGAACGTGGACGCACCTGGCATGTGTAGGGCCGCTCTCCGGTGTGCATTCGCTCGTGGTTTTGCAACTGATGCTTGGCGTTGAACGACATCGTGCAAGTCCCGCACTTGAAAGGTTTGTAACCCGAGTGTATCCGCAGGTGGCGGTTCAGATCGCACCGCTGAAATACAATTTCAACTTATTTTGCAATGCCCTTGACATGGGCTTCGCTTTCACTATATCTTTTATTTAGATATTTTTTAATAGGTTGAAAGCTATAATTATATAGTAGGTACTATATATTTCTATATATATTTGTTTGTAACAGCCTAGTAGAGTAATAAATGCTACACTTACAGCAATGAATTTCTTAGTGCACAAGTTGCATGCGAAAGGTCTTTCGCCTTTATGGATCAGGTTGTGCCTGAAAGAAAAAATATTACCAATTAGAATGCGTTTCGTAACATGACTACATTTCCGGACGCATAATTCAAGCCACCTTTCATTTTTATTGTTAAATGTTTAAAATACAAATTAACAATAAAGGGAAACTTTTCCCCAATTTTACAAATACAAATTTTTAACAAGGACTTACTATATATTAACAAATACTTATATTATGGAAATGACGCCAGTTTGAAAATGATCAATCATTAATAATATTATTATTATTAATAGGTACAAATAGGCGTAAGGGTCAAGACACACTAATCAACTACAATCACATACTACTGCAATCAAGCAAAATACGATTAATATAGGATGCCTTTTGCTAGAGATGAAACCTAAGCACCTAAGTCGGACAACCGGATATCCGGCTGCCGGATATCTGACCCACTGCTGTAAATATGTCGCGACCGGTTTACAGTGCGCAATACCGTGATTGATTGATTAGTGACTGATTGCACTTTCACATTGACCATTTGATTTGTTGAAGTCACTTGGTTTTTATAAAAACGATTTATTTATTCGATAATACAAAAAGATAAATGTTAACAGTGAAAAATAATCACAAATTCGGCAATATTTTAATATATTACATTTTAATATCAGTGCTGTTTGTTTGTTGTGCCAAATGCAAATTTCTCGCGATGGAGAAGGAAAAAAAGTAATTACATAATTCAAAAAATATAAAAATTTAAAATAGCCATAGCTATATTAAAATTTTTTGTAGTTATAAGTATATGCCTAGCACTTGATACGTCCGTTATTATTTTGTTTCAATTTGATTTCATTGATTTGTATTCTAATTCTAAGCCTTGATACAGATTTGCCAAAAAAAATTAATCCACTTACACGTTCTATTATTGTAGGCACACATTGTATTTAAAGACAGAGCAAGTCAATCGTGATCGCGATCCTTTCATTTGGTCGTCTGGCAATAACAAGTAGTTCTTAATAATTAACAAAATTGCAAGATAGTTTTATAATGAAAAAAAAAACCATCCTTTGAAACTGGTCTTGTTTATGAAAATAAATAGAACCAACTTTTACCATTTAATGCTGTATAATTAGTCTTCCTCCACCATAATTTGCCTTTATTGAAATTCGAGTACTAAATTTACAGATAACATTATCTAACTTCATAGTGTTTTGTACAGTACAGATTATTAACAATCCTGTAGTTGCTGTTGTATTCAATCTCATCATCTTTAATCAATAAATAATTTTATGTGACGTACTAACTACGAATTTTCCTCAGTTTTAAATATCCGGTATCCGGCTGGACTTGTTCTACTATCCGGTATCCGGCTGGATAGTAAAAATTGGCCGGGTAGGTCGGATACCGGATATCCGTTTCATCTCTACTTTTTGCATTACTCCCCATCAAAGACGAAGGGACGTGTTCCCATATAAATCGAGCTTTTTGTTTTTATGGACGAAACATTAATGACTAACGAGTATGCCATAACCTTGATAATTATTTTTCTTGTATGACCTATGTTTTAACCTACTTATTATTTATTACTAATTTCATGCTCATAATCTATGTTTTCCCATAATGCATTCTGTTTAAGACTACAGCCACATGAATTACCTGACTAGAGATTTCTGGCTATAGAACCCAGCACCACAAATGTCACAAATAAAGTCCTTGATCCCAGTGTGCTGTTTCATATGAGCCATAAGATTGCCTTTTTGCGAGAATGTCCGCGAACATTGCGAGCAGTTAAACTTCTTCTTTTCTGTAGACATAAAGACAAAAAATAAAGACATGTTGTAAAAGTATTCTACACATAAGTATGTATGTATGTATGTATGTATGTATGTATGTATGTATGTATGTATATACATGTACTCTAACCTATTTTTAGCAAAGTTATATTTTACTTGTCTAATTTTCATAATTAAGAGTTTAGTCTAATTTATTATAATCCGCGAAACGGGGATCCTGGTGACCTGTATTACAGGTATCTTTATGCCTATCTCAGGCACCAGTCTCTCGCAAATAAGGTTTAATATTAAACTCATTAGTCAGTAAGCATCTTTTGTTTAAACTATTCACCTTGTATGTTGAGAGAAAATAAATAAATTATTATTATTATTATTATTAAAAATATGGAATATATGTCAGTCTGGAGGTAAAGGTATTTTTTCTCAAACATGCTTGGAAAAATATTGTCTTGGTATTACTTATTTTGCGTTTAACTGCACGAATATATCTGCACCACATGCTTTTAAAAAAAGGCGGTAAAATAAACAAATGTAGTTTCAAGTTTTTTTTATTTCTATATTTTTGTATTTCCTCATATTGCTTGAGAAAAGCACTCGGCGGGAACGAGGTTTGCCTGACAGGTATAATATAACACATACGCGTCCGGGAATACTTTACTTCCTGGCCTCTGTAACAGGGTACTTGATAACTTTAATGAAGAATAAACCACCCTGAGGATCGTATTCCAGAATTCTACTCAATGCTCAAGTCAGGACTTGAGTATGATTTAAAGCAATGAAAATCATACTCAAGTCCTTGCCATTAGAGTCGTATTTACAGTGCTTGAAATCATACTCAAGTCTGCTCAAGTCCCGACTTGAGCATCGAGTAGAGTTCTGGAATACGACCCTTAAAATCTGCCTTGTGATACTTGTGAATTGACACATAAATTTTCAATGGAATACAAAATAAAGACAATATTTTAATAATGAACTTTTATTTAACTGCCTCCGTGGCCGAACGGTTACCATGCCGGACTGCCACGCAGAGGTCCCAGGTTCGATTCCCGGGCCGGGAGAAATAGTTGTATGGCCTACAATTATTTCTCTCGTGAGTTTGAGTGTAATTTGTGGTTGTCTATGTGTGTGTCCATGGCACCCGCGACACAGGGTTTCCCTAGTGCGGGGCTATGTTCAGACTTTTGTGATCTCAATATCCAAAAGCTGTATGCACTTCTTTTGATAATGACAAAGGCATTTCTGATTGACACAAAAATGCTACAAAGTGGTATTAATTTTAAAGTACTTTACCTTAAATAATGGAAAAATATAATATTAAATCATTGACTTACAAATAAATGGACGACGGGTCTAATACAAAAACCACGAAAAAAATGTCCCAAGTCAACCTATTTAAACGTAGTGACATGTAAAGGAATATGAAAAAGCTAAAACGTTGAATTTAAATTGTAATGTCATCACAGTACTGTCTAATTTTGCTTGCATAAATTGAAAGGCGCAAAAAAACACCATATTCAGCTTCTACTGGAAACTTACCAAAATGCACCATATGTAGCTTCTAGTGAAAAGTACTTGAACACAGGTATAATGGAGTAGCCTTTATGATTTATAAATAAATTTTATATGTAAATGTTGAATTTTATACAATGCCATTCATTACGAGGGTGTCTGATTTTTTTCTTGAGTTTCGAGAATTCTCGTACCCGATTTCTCGAGTTATTCGAGATTTTTTTTTAAAACCGTAAAAAATCAGCTCAATCAACTATAAAACTAAATGTGAACTTTTCGAAAGTTGTATTGGCCTGGGTATTCTGAGTTGTGCCGCGAAATAAATTTCAACGTTCTTGGTCCCAGGTTCGATTCCCGGTAGAACTAATTTGGGAAATGAACTTTTGTAAATTGGTTCTGCTCTGGGATTCTGTGGCTCTGATACTCATGGGGAGTATGTACAGAGAGATCCCTAGTTTTTTTTTTTTTTCTAGTTTCAGACCAGGTGATTGTCTTACAATAGAATACCAACACCAGAACCATTTACAAAAGTTAATTTGTTAAATTGATCCTACCGGTATCGAACCCGGGAACTTTTCATCCAGTGCCCACAGTGCAAACCGTTAGGCTATCAAGGTTGTACTATTTGTATTATTATACATTGTTTGCATGTGAAAGCTACAAATTGCTTAAACTTTAAAAAAAATCCTATTTAATATGCAGTGTCAGTCTGCTGAAATTACCTTCTTTGTTTCTTAAGTTGGTATATTTTGTCATTCATCCAACTTTTGATTATTAATGCATTTTGGCGGTGTAAGATGTTCTCTGTTAATACTTGTCACTTTCTCCTTAAGTTCAAGCTATGTTTACTGGATATATTCCTGTATTCTCTCCTTCCTATGCACAGTTCACTCATTGATGTAATCACATACGAAAGCTTTAATATAAATTTAATATAATGCCTAGGCACCAAAAACCAGTTCTTACTAGCAATGTTGGCAAGCTGTTTTTTTAAATTTTCGTAAGCCTTTGCTGGTTATGTACATATCCGATAGTCTGAAATGAGCCGAGCAAACAAATTTGTACATTTTCGGGATAAAATGTTAACAAAGTACAAGTAATAAAGTGTTAGCAAGTATAGAATCTCGAGGAAAACTGAAATAAATACATTTATTTACTTATGCCATTTTTTCGATCACATTTCGATTTTTTTAAATTCAAATTCAACGTAAAGCCAAATTTTCATAATCCTGAAAACCGATTCATAATAAAACCGTTATGCTTTAGGAAGTTTTGGATTCTTATTACAAAGAAAAGACTAAGTTAGCTTAGGTTTGTTTTGTAATATTCTAAAAAAAAACCTAAAAAAATACTTTCGGGATCATGGAAATTCATGCAAACGTTATTTCGGGCAAATGTATTTTCGGTATTCTGATTCGTAACCCCAAGCCATAGAAAGAGTACAACACTATTTGAAAGTATTACTAACATGTATTAAAAAATATTTTAATAATAACATTAGCATGAAATCGACTCTATGAAATTTATGTTCTAAATATTTTAAACGCTTGTGTTTGAAACAATTGAAATTGACGTGTTGGGTCTCGTTCAGTCTTTTACGCAAGCTATGAGTCGGAAAGAGACAGTTAACTATTTGATTATTTTGATTGCTTTTGTAATTTATATTTACGATTAATTTAAATATAAATTAAATACTATATATACTAGTACATAAAATAACACTTTTAAATGATAACTATGATAACACAATGTAGTACTTACTGAAAATATGATATACCATCTTGTTTTTTTCATTTTAGTTGAGTAATTTTTACAAGGTTTTACTACACAATAAGGCATCATTGACAAGCGCGCTGTCAGTCGAACAAACGAAGACTAAAGCGTGAATGACGCTCTGTATACGATTTTAACGCCCTATAAGTTCGGACACTTTTTAGCGCGGACCCGAGTCCATATAATTGCAAGTCAATGTATTAAACACATAAAGTCACTTACCCTGATGGGTAGCAATATGGTTGCCAAGAGTATATGTAAGTATGCCGCAAATGGGGCACACAAGTTTCTCTCTCTGCTTCACAACAGGTTTAGCAGTTCTGACTACACGTACAGACTTGTCTTTGGGTTTCCCATCTCCAGAAGGACCTGGTTTCTTGTAATTAGGATGTACTTTTAGTATTGTTGCATCTTTGGGTCTCTTTAGCAAGATTGGTGGACCTCTGGAACCATTTTTCATTATAGGATCTGAAAAAATTTTGTTTATATTTTAGATAACATTTTTTGGGGTACATAAAAGGATACTCTCGTGCAATGTACCATTCCTTTTGTATATGTCTGGTACACCCTGGGCACCAATTCGCAAACTCTTTCACCATGATGGCAAGCATTATAGTGTATGCCATCAATATGATAGGAAGCACATTTTTATATTATTTATTTGCTTGATTCTTGAGTCTGTGTAAATCATAATAGTTAACTCTGTGTAAATCAGAAATATTGAATATATAGATAAATTTTATACTTACAACAAGTAATAGTGGTAGATTTAGTTCTCCCTTCACTTTTTTCCCTTCCTTCCTTTTCAGTTTTAATTTGGCTTAGGATTTTAACTTTTCTGACAACTGTTTTTTTGCCTTTGAAAACTTTAATGTCTGACAATTTAGGCTTTTTAAACTTGGCACTTCTTTGTTGTTTTTCTGATAAGGGTTCATAATCAGAGTCATTGCCATCATCTTGAAATAAATCATCATCTAAATATTCAGTCTGTAAAAAAATTGTCCAATAAATGAAATAGTATTCATGTTTCATATTATTACCACAGAAATTAATCAATTTGTTCCTGCAATAATTTCAAATAATAATTCAATTTGTAAATTAGTTGAATAGTTTTCAAACTTTCAAGAAATTTATTTTATATACAAAACTATTGTAATAACTATTATAAAACTAGCTCTTTCCATCCTTGGGTGCCCGCTAGGATGGTTTAGAGATGGTGTGTTCGCCTAAAAGGCGTCGGCGGGATGATCATTGATGGGAGTGGTGGGAGTAGTGTCGTTAAAAATCCGTTTTTTTTTGAGGTGAAAAACAAACAATGAAAAAATACATGGAAAAAAACTGTTTTTTTTCTGGAGTACGTTTTTTTTAAAGTATGAAAATATAAATATGACAATATGACAAATGTATTTTTTTACTACATTTCCTCTTTTGTTGTTAATATTATTCTTGATAGATAAATTGCTCAAAATAAATGGGCAATACTCAAAGTGTTGTCAATTTGTGGCGAATTCCCCACATTGCGGGGAATTTCAACTCGATTGGGCATTTTATGGGATTGACGCTATGTAGGCAAAATGCGGGGATTCTAACATTTTACCTTTTTTAAAAAATGTATCGATTGCTGTTGCATCGCTACTTTGATTATCACTGATAAAACCACTGCTTACTTATTTATCTAACAGCGATATCAATATTTTTTTCCACATTGCACATATCCCTCACATAGCAACATTTACATAGAATGATTAGCAAGCTGCTTATATAAAATTATTTGGAAGGATTTGAATGAAGAAAATGAAGATACGAACGAAGACAGAAAATTTCGATGGCATTACAAATGTGGATAACATCTGTAACAGTAGTAACACTAGTAACACCACACATGAAGATTAAATTTTTATTATAATTATCATGGTAATTGATTTATATATATTTACATATACAGTGGTGGTCGTTTAATTAGAAACACTTCTTATGATTGAAGGTAGTTTAACTTCAACGTACAAATGTTCGTGAAAAATATATAAATGCAATAATAAATAATCATGCAATCTTCATGCAATAATATAGCCACTCAAATAAAAAATCATTAAATGCATAAAAAATAAAACATATCTTACTTTTAATTATAAAATGAGTCTTACACAATGTACAAGTATATTTTCCTTGAAAAACCTCTCCCAGAGAAGATAAGCTAATCGTTCGTGTTGCTAAAAAAGACCCATTTAAAGGCTCAAACCAGATTAAAAATGAAGTTTTTTTTTTGACCCCAGAAACGTCTCATCAAGACTGATACGCCGAAGATTAGTGGAAGCTAAATTGTTTGGAAGAACCTCTCGAAAGGTACCGCTTCTTACCAAGCAACATCGAGAGAAGCGATTATTATTCGCAAAAAAATATGTTAATTGGACGGTACGAGACTGGAAAAAAATTTTATTTTCAGATGAAACGATAATAAACATGGTAAATTCAGATGGAAAGCGCTATGTTAGACGTCCTGTAAACAGTGCTTTTAATTATAAATACACAAGGAGCATAGTCAAGCACGGTGGTGGAAACATTAAAGTTTGGGAGTGTTTTTCCGGATGTGGAGTTGGTCCCGTTCGGAAGATTGAAGGTACAATGGATCAATGGCAGTACAAAAATATCTTAGAGGACACAATGATTCCCTACTCGGACGATCATATGCCTGTAACCTGGATCTTTCAGCATGACAATGATCCTAAACACACGGCCAATAGCGTCAAATGTTTCCTTAGCGAACAGCGTATATCCGTTTGAGACTGGCCAGCATAGTCCGGATTTAAACCCGATAGAAAATCTGTGGTATATTGTTAAGAAGAAAGTCTCAAACAAACGTACCACCAGTCAAAACGAATTATATGAAGCATTTGTTGAAGCATGGAATTCAATCCCCCTAGAAAAATGTAAGACATTGATTGAATAAATGTCACGTCGTTGCAGAGTTATTGAAAATAAGGGATAGGCCCATGATACGCTACTAAATATTAATTATAAATATTGGTAGGCTGGGGACAGTAGCTATTTCGTAAATAAAAATACTAATTGCTAATAATTAAAAAATGTTGTTTTTTTACACTTTTTTGTTGTTGTTTATAATTAGTTGTCCATTATTCTTTATACCTTAAAACTGATTTAAGTGTTTGTCCGTAATGTAATATTGAAACTGCACTTGTGTAGTGGGATTGATATTGTTTTTTTAATAAATAATAAATCGTTGAACCTATTGTTGTCCTATTTATTGTTTAATTTCAAAATAAAAACGATTGCGGTGAAGTTTCTTACATAATGTCAAGGACCGTTTGTAGTGTTTCTAATTATATGACCACCACTGTATATATTCTTAAAACAAAAGTTAGTGTCTTATTTTCAGGATTGGAAAAAACCATGATTTAAAAAAATAATCGAGTAAAGCATGATTTTTTTTCAGTTTTTAGTTTAACTATATTTTTGCATAAAACGTAGTAATGTAACAGCGGGAAGCTAGTTTGTTCAAGTATTATAGTAATGATATTGATTTTTTAGATGTAAAAGATCCTAGTCTGTAAAATATAATTATCTGATTTTATGTTGATTTCTGTGAAACAAAATAAAATTAAACACATTTGATTAAATCACTGATTTTTATTGGAAAAACCATTTGATTTAAATCAAAATAATTTAATTGCGCCAATCTGGCTTATTTCATTTCAGTTATTCCATTTTACTTTTTCTGAAAAAAAAAAACCGAATTTAGAAAAAAACCAGGGCGCTGTTTATTTTCATGTTTGTTTTTCAAAAATGTGGAAAAAGCATTTGGTTGTTTTTTTAAGTTACAACACTAGGTGGGAGATCACCAAAGACAGGGAGCAATGGAGGATTTTGGGGAGACCTTTGCCCAGCAGTGTGACATAACAAGTTAATAAAAAAACTATTTAGCAAATAATTATGTGTAGGAGTTCTCATAATTTATAACATACAGATATACAGTAATACCCCGCTTTGCGCCCGCTTTTCGTCATAAAGCGATTATCAAAATTCGCGCTAAATTATGATGCACTCTTTTGATTAATTTAGTTAATTTGAACCTGTAGCTTCTCAGTTACTAAAAGTGCATTGTCACGAGTAGTTGTTTCTTGATAGGGCCTCTAATTTGTAATCACATTGGTACTGCCTGTTATCTAGTGAATTGAAAAAGATAATTTTTATGTACAATGACACCACTAGCTAATAAAGAAGAGCGTAAGAGTCTGAGGGTCTTATTCCAGAACTCTACACAATGCTCAAGTCAAGACTTGAAAATTCAAGCTCTGGAAATACGACTCTATGGCAAGGACTCGAGTATGATTTCTAGTGCTTTAAATCATAGTCATGTCCTGACTTGAGCATTGAGTAGAGTTCTGGAAAACGCCCCTGAGTTTGGAGATGAAGATAAAAGTTTTAGAAAAGATGGGAACGCATCCCTGGCGTAATGCGGGGAATTACTGTAGTTTTATTTTTACTGCCCTAAATGTTGTGCCTTACAAATGCTTTAGAAATATGAAAACAAAGCATGCAAACTTACGTCATAATCACTGCTCTGAGTTTTAGATTTATTGGATGACCATGTTAAATCTACCTTATCGGAGCAAATGTCACTTTTTGACTCCTCTTTTTGTTCTTCAGTACCATCCACTTTTCTTATTACTGTGTTTGCTATTACTATATCTTTGCCTTCTATTGATTCTACTGGCTTCACACTGCTGTTCAAGTCTACTTCTAACTCCCATTTAGGTTCCGCTTTCACTGTCAATGGACCAATCTCACTCTTAATATCCGTAAATGAATCAAATGCAATCTTCTTAGTTGGAACGGCTTGAGACATTTTAACAAGCATTTTTCGTAATTTTCTATCAGTTCTGTAAAAAAAATTGTAACAAATGTATTAATGCATTTAAATATAAGATAAGGTACTTATAACAATAATGCAATTTATAACCTACCTTTCAGCAATGGTTTTGAGAAGATATGCCTTTTCCAACGCTGTACAGCATTTCTGGCAAATACGGTCTGGTAGGCCATCATTAGATGCTACCTGGTAAAATGAGATTTTTGTTGTTAAAGATAAAGAACACATGGGTTATTCTATGTTATTCACACAGTTATACTATTCTACTATGTTTCGGAGTTGTTATTTATCAAACAAAGAAAGCCCGCCAAAACGTCGAAGAATTCGTTATGTTGATGTCTAAATAGGAAGTTAGAGTAATCTTTACTATCACGCAAAGAACAAACCGCCTAGTTTCTAATATTACACCGAATAAAGTGCAGTATCAAAACAATGTACTTGTAGATCCTCACCTTTACATCAGCGATCGCTGTAAGCATTTCAGCATAATTACCGGACAGTTTGTACCTGAAGAGTGGGCACAATGGCTTCTTCGTGGACAAGCATATTCGACATGATTTCATGTCGAAACCTTCGTTTGAATCCATCTCCGATCACACAGCACAACAAATATTAAATTTCTGATCAACGCAAGTGATGAACCAAATCCGTAAACTATCGGATATCGTAGAGTTGTTAAAGACGTCTAGGGATTGCTCCTTGTCGATTTTTTGTTTGTACTACGTTCTGCAAACTATTCCACCATTTTGCTTTACATTTTACTGGCGATGGCGTGCTCAATAATCACTTCACTACCGTTTAGGGATGTCCTAAATGTCGATCAAGTGAATCGATTTTCTCTTTACGATTAAAAACTTTAATAATTTTGAGTGGTCCTAACTTATCATCACAGTCACAATACTCGAACTCCAAGCAGAACTTCAAACAGCACCGATTCCACAGTGATGCCTTAAAAAGAGTCGAAAGAACAATGCCAATTTAGACAGCTATTGATAACAAAAACGAGATGAGAATGTAAACGATTACTTCACAATCACAATATTCATTAAAATCAGTCACTATGGTTTGTAGCATAGACAAACAAAACTGCCGCCGTTTATTGAAATTGTTGAAAAGGCTCTTGTGACAAAAACTCAAAACAGAGAAAATAATAACTGTAAATGAAATTTGATAAATATCTACATTTCTTGATGAAGTTACCGCACTTCATACGACGATCGGCCTTCTTTTACTAATCATGGTAGAAACAACAAATTTAAAAAAAAGTCACTTGCATCTCATCTACTGTTGAGTAATTTTTCGAAAATTTCTAATAGTGAAAAATTTTCCGGAAAAATTACTAAAAAATTGGAAAAATATAGTTTGGGAGGTTATTATTATGTTCTACATTTAGAAATATATTTTAAATTTTTATTTAGCGTGAATTACTCGTATAAAATAAACTTGTTTACCTAAAAACACTGAACAGCTAAAATCCACCTAAAGAAAAAATGATTTCACAACAGCGAAAAACCTCCAACCACTATTTTTTTTCTTATTAATAATTTTGGCTTGGATACAAGTCCTTTGAGCCATGTCTTCGTTTAATTATGTTTCTGTTAATATGGCCGCCACAAAGAAGATAGGCAATTTGAGGCGGCGTGCTTGGATATACTCGGGCTTCCTTAGAACGGGCCGATACGGGTATTTTAATTCGAGATTCGTATAATTTTGCGTTTTAATCTTTGATTAAGGCACAATAGCACTATCCTATTCCACTTTAAACTAGATTTTACAAAATAATTGAAAGTCAAAATAAAAACGACACTTTTCCCTCCAAAAGGCCCAAAGTGAATCCCTCCAAGCACTAGCTCTTGCAGTGTTGCCGTTGATCATGGTCAGAATTTTTCCGCTAGATTTGGGTAAAAAAATAATTTCCTAAAGTCCGCTAGATGTCTCTAGACTACAGTTGCGTAGATTTTGAGCCTGTAAAACATTTTTACACAAATCAGTCAAGTGGTCAATCTGACGAATTGAGCTATGTTCAGCGATATACTGTGCGTTAACACACCCCGCTCTTGCACAAAAGTTCCATACTTTACAGTCCTTGGAGAAAATGACAATTGTCTATTCTGAGAAATTAGTTCGCATTTTTTGTCTTTTTTTTGTTTCTAAATGCTTTTTCAAGTCATTAATTTTTGCGTACATTTCGCAGTGGTAACAACTACAAAATGTTTTCGTGGAGTCACCTGGCACATGTTTCAACCAATGTTTGTACTCTTCGTACTTTTCCCTTTCGCTTCTATGATTCTGTGCATACACTTTTTTTTGTCGGTACTTTCATGCTTATTTGAAAATCAAATTTAATTCACAAACAGTAAATAAAATTGCAAATAGTTACGACAAAATGAAACAAAAAGCACTTATTTTAATTTAGTTTTGAACACAACAAACAAAAAAATAATAATTATATTCATCTCATAATTCCGTGAGTGAAAAAACTTCAATCAATAGGTTTTTGTCCTCCTCATTCCTAATTGTAAGGAGCGAGAAAGGCATCAAACGAACGAATGGCTATTGAGAGTTTATTATTACAGGGAAATTACCTTTCAGTCCGATTCTACGTTAGTGTTATCAGCTTTAGAACTAGAAAATTGGCCGAAGTACTAATTTACCGTATTTGATTGACAGGTTATAATGTTTGTTTCTGAAAAGAGCCTAGTGGTTAAAAAGATGCTAGAAGTAGCTAAATATTTTTTTCTCGCTAAAAACAACTTTTTAGCCGCTAAACATGCATAAAATCCCCTACATCTAGCGACAAAACAAAGGTGCTAGAACGGCTACTCTGACCACTTGTTGTTGGCTCCAACGTTTTCGTTCAGTAACTTCAACTTTTGACGGAAGTCAACTTCAAATGTGAAAAAATATCCGGAAAAATATTTACTTTTCTGAAAAACATGATTTCTTCATAATGAACATTTTTCATGACCCAACACTACTTGAGCCCAAAGGATGGAAAAAAAAGAAATTTGCGGCCTTTCAAAGCCCTTTTACAGCTATTGAAAGAGGCACATTTTTTGGTTTTTGTTTTGTGTTTGGCACAAGCAAAATGAAATGAAATGAAAGCATAAATAACTTTGCAATAATTCGTACAATTTTCACTTTTGGATGAATTGGGATACACGCTTAAAATAATGAAATCAAGTTTTTTTTTTAACCGTATCTATCCTAATGAAACGAACACACCCATTCGTAGTTTTGCGCGATGTTGAGATTGTGCTATGAACTGCGCTGATAGTGTAAAGAATTTAAAGTTTGTATCACAAATTAAGGTATAAATATCGAGTGACTATTGGAGAAGCGCATTTGTGAAATACGTTATTAAAGAGGGTGATTTCAAATTCACCGGCATGTTTTTGCACAGGTAAGTTTTAATTGAAGTTGAGATGCATAAGCTTCGCACTTGCAGTCTAATGTAGAAATAAAATTGTTATATCATGGAGTGTTACTTGCATTACAGAAATGTCAGAGATCAAGCATAAAAATCGAATTTTAGCTGCAATAGACCACTTGCGCGCTCGTAAGTCTCGGCCCGACATAAATAGAATTTGCAAGTTTATGCTAAAGTGTTACAAAGTTACACCCAAAGACACAAAAGCTGATCTCAAACGTTGCTTGAAAGAAAAAAGCATATATAAAGTTGATTATAAGGATAATGTAAGTTATAGGAACGCTGCAAAGTGTAGAAAAAGATCAGGACAAAATAACAGTAAGTTTCCTTTTTGACCCTTTTTAAACAGCACGAAAATACTTAAATAACACAGTTATTAAAATATTGCTTTATTAAAATTTTTAGAAATGGCCAACATCGTCGCAACTAGTGAAAGGAGAATTATAACATCCGCAATTGCAACTCTTATTTACCAAGATCAAAGCTTTTTAGAAAATGGAATTGCATTTGATGAATTGGTGAAGGCTGCAGCATCTCAAGAGTCAAAGTACACCAAGAAGCAACTTGAGACTATTGTGAACAAAGAATTAGCTTCTGGTAGTTTAGTCAAACTACCCAATGGCAATTTGGCCCTGGGCCCTGCTGATCATGATGGAGATAGTTCTGACAGTTTTAAATTTGAATATAATGCAGACTCTAATACAAAGGTATGTATACATTAAAGACAGCAATTGACGAATGGACTGGTAAATTGTCTATAAAACTATTAGTCTATAATCTTTGTCACTTTTCCACTTATACCAGTAACAATTTTGAATTTGAAATTTAGTATTACAGTATGACTCCTTTACACTGCTCGTTCGATTTATTTCCAATTATGCATAACTTCTATAAGTTTCACTATATCTTGTACTATGTTCTAATATAATGAAGGGTTTGTGTGCCTATTAATGTCTGTTAATATGTCTTGAATAATATAAAAATTAACTTAAAATAAACACCTTGTTTGATTACAACTCTCTGGTTCCTACTGGCAAGGTTTGTTTTAAGGAACAAGGGTAAATAAGTTACTAAAATCATGAGAAACTACAATTTTCCAGATGACTTCATCGGCCAATTCATCATGCAGATCATCCCCTCAAAGAACAAGGGGAAGACCAAAGAAACGTGTAGGTGCCTCCAACAATACCAATAAGGAAGTACGAAACACTGGAGTCCGTGTTGGTGAAAGACGTAAAATGGCTAAAAAAGTTTTTGATCCTTCTGATAATAATTTACCCAGCAAGAAGAAACGAGGAAGACCTGTTGGGTCTTTAAATAAGAATACGATTAAAAAGCACTTGATTAGAAACAGTAAATCTGGGAAAGAAGGATCTCCTGGAACGGACGGGCAACTCTCGGAAGGTAGTGCTGACGAGATGGAACAAGATGAATCAATAGCTCATGAAACATCAGGCGGAGTCTGCTCAGTATGCCTCGTACAAAAACCCAGAGGGTCGAATGATAGATTGGTTGAATGCCGAGACTGCAACAATAAGGCACATCTGAGCTGTCTTCAGTCAGGATCTGGTATCTTAAAGCCACGTCCAGACAACACTTGGCAATGTCCCCATTGCAAAACTTGTGTTGTGTGCTGCGAAACAAATGATGCTGTTAGTATTACCTAGTCTGTTATTGTTCTCATTTCTGTTACAAAACTTCTATCTGTGATATTTTTCGTTTATTCATGTAAGTCATTTTCGCAGTACATGTAGGCATATCGTTGTACAGATGCCGTAATGCGCCGGCATTACTTGCGACTGTTATTCTTGGTTTGCAACAGCGACTGACTGATAACTTCTTTTCCTCTATGAAAAGGAGTACAAGTGACAATAATTAACTATTTTTCAGGGTATATTGACAGTGTGCAGCATATGTTCAGACGCTTACCATGCTCTGTGTCACGCTCCAAGAATACCAGAACGTTTAAAAGCCTGGGACCAATGGGAATGCAACAATTGCCTGGAATCACGTCCTACAGTTGTTGGGTCTCCCGCCATTATTCCAAACATAGATGACAATGACCAGGATTCCTCAACTCCACCAGAACCTGCTATAGACCCTTTTTTAAAACCGCATGAGCTGGATAGAGCACCTTCAAAGGTTCCTGGAGAAGTATCATTAGACCAAGACATTCCTGACATTACTAACTGGACTACAAATGATGTTTATGAATATTTTAAAGAACATCATCCTGAAGCTGCACCGATACTTAAGGAACAGGTGACAGGACTAAATTTACCTTACCATTGTCATATAAACCCTATATAAATATTTCGAGCATTAAATAACTATGCAATGCACTGAATGTGCAAGGTATTAGCAGCAAAACCAAAGTTTATTCAAAATACTTGTAGGAAAGGAACTCCAGTTTTTATGATCAGTATAGAGAGTTGGTTACTACTATATTTTTCTATAAAAATTTTATCTTTTCAGGAGTTTGATGGTCAAGCCCTAAGCATGGCAAGGAGAGCAGACATAGTTCGAGGGCTAGGTTTGCCCCTGGGTCCTGCTCTGGCATTGTACAGAATAGTTGTCAAGTTACAAACAATGAAAGACGATTGGACTATGTGTTGGGGCTGAACTTTTCAGTATACTAGTCTATTTATTAAAACTTTTAGGTTTTTTATAAGGTATTCAACATACACATAGCAAATATGTTATAAGTTTATTTTAGAAGGTTTACTGGTCAACATTTTTTTTTATAAATTTTCTGTCCCAATATAATATCATTGGTTCCAACTAATCATCAATTTTTAAATTGATCTATTTTACTTGAACACGTTGGCACGAAATTGCGGTGCGAAGAGAAGCCTCTTGTTTAAATAATATTTTGTATATGACTGATACAAATCCATTATTATAAATATCATAAATTTAAAGCACTGCCTACTTTCCTATGAAAATAATATTATATAGATTCTATAATCCTGTTAAGACTATTCCCAAATACCTAATTCTTAGCGCGAAATAATTTATATATACAAAATAGGTACCTACAAAACTACAAATTACCTACTTTTCAACTTAATCAGCAACAACTTGCATTGTCATTCACAATTCATTCATGGTTTTTTTTAAAGTATTCAAATTCATTTATTCCAAAATTTACAAAATGCATTTATGAACAATAATAAAATGTATAACCTAAAGATCAGCACATTCATTCATTACCTTTGTCACTTCCATTTCATGGTTCCCTTACTCTATGTGGATAATTGAGAAGATTGTGTAATTTTATGTGATACAGATAAGCAATGTCTTTAGTATAACTTAAAGGACTTAAGATTCTTAGAATTCTAAGAATTTTGTAAGATATTATTTATACTTTAATTTTTGAAAAAATCTATGTAACAGTAATATTCAGGTAAGTTTTTTGAACTCAATTTTGGTGACAATTTTATTGTTTAATTACTTGAATATTTATCGTCATGAAATATTAAAGAATATTTCAGGTTACCACACTCGAATGTTAAATAATATTTCATGATGATATTCTATATTTAAATAAAAAAAATTCACCAAAATTGAGTACAACTTACCTGAAAATTACCCGTACCAGCGTCATATTTCAATTTTTACCATTTGTATGCATTATAAAATAAAAAGAGAAAATGTAAAAATAGAAGTTTTTATTTACTTCAAGCCTTGATTCAGACATTAGGTTTCTTCTTTAACCTGTATGTTGATAATGTCAGGCAAATCCCTTTTAGATTTTCATTATTTACATTCTATTTACATTATACTGTGTTATTCACAATTTCGTAATTATGGTAATTACATTTGAAATAAATGAGTACAGTTACATTTGAATATGCACTCTGACTGACAAAAGCTGAGAAATGGAAATGGTAGACGACAGAGAGCATCGAGAGAAGAACGTATGGGCATCGAGAAACGAAACAAATGTATAGTAAGTAGTTACATGTAAATAAAACAAGAAATTGTGTTGTTTAATTTTAGTTCATACAAAACATTAACTTTTTAATAGACAGAATTCTGGCCCATATTCACTAGCCTTATGGTCTTTTATAAATTGAAAACGCTCTACTTTTACTTACCTATTTGGTAACTTCTTATAAGTCAACATTATTTAAAAAAAAAACAATATATTAAAATTGCATTACTTATCAGAAACAGCAATTACCATTTACAGTTTAAAGTTTTAATTTTTAGGTAGACTAGGTACAGTCAAGAGCATGTCAAGCATGATACTTTCTGACAATTTCTTACCAAAAGTGACATAAAGAGTTTAATTTAAATCTTAGGTGGTTAATTTTCAGGTAAGTTTTTTGTACTCAATTTTGGTGACAAACTTGAAATGTTCTTGACCCTGTAGCTATAAATGTATTATTTTATTATTATATAAATAGTTGAACAGAATTCTGCAGCAAATTATGATGAATATTAATACTGATCCAACTGAAATTGAATTTGGTAATTACCACTAATACTTCTAAAAGCTATCAATATGATACAACAGGATTAAAAAGTCACATAACTAAGTATCAATACAGAACAATTAAATTCTTATAAATATTAATTGGGAGGCACAACAAAAATTATTTCAAAAAGTAACAATATCTTTTGTACCAAAACTAAAAATATAAATTATTTCATTTTGTTTCATCCTTGTTATTTGTGTCGACAGAGTCATAATGTTTAATGTAAGCTAGGTAAACATCAAATATTAGTGTCGCCAAATTAATGTAGACAACCCTGTATGGTGTAGGCAAGTAATAAAAATTGATGAACTGCACTGGAGGCCAGAATATACAATCACCCTGGAAAAAAATTTAAAAATTTCATAATACTCTATGTTTAATTTTCTACCTTCGAGGTTAAAGATAACATGTTAATAGTAGAGTTAATTGTATTGAAAGACTTACCATGTACACATATTTAAATTTTAGCTTAATTTCATCAGAGATCTCTTGTAATGGTTTATTCTCTAATACTCCCATTCCAAAGAAGAAAAACAGAATTGTAAGTGGTGCACATACAAATTGGTCTGCCGCTATTTTGATAAATACTGTTTTTAAATTAACTTTAGGTATTAATTTGTCTAATTTTATATAATAATAGTGATGCATGGGCCCCAACATACCGCCAACTATTAACATTTGAGCTGAAATCATAAACATAAAGTTGAATCTTCTTTTATGTGATAAAAATCCAAAAACTATGACATTGTATTCTTACTTGCACGAGCCCAGTTATATTTTTCAGATAAAAGACCATTCCTGAATTCAATTTCCTGAATTATTAAATCTCCTATAGCCATAAAAAACCCTGAAGTTAGACTGTTAGTCATCAGTAAATTTTCGTGAAACAAAAACTGGAACCAACTACGAGAAAGCGCTGATTTCATTCTTTTTTGCATCATAAACGGTCTTATGATTTGTCGTATTTTAAAACAGCGTACCCTAAGCATCGTATAAACCTGAAAAAAAATCGCAGAATCTTTTCAGGTTACGCACGTTAATTATACGACAAAGCAGTATTCACAAATTATATACAACGAAAATATATTACTATATTACCTTGAATTAAAATGGAAATTATAAGCTACACAATTAATTTACAAAAATTAAATAAAAAATTGCGCCTTCGATGCGCATGACACTCGCTTAGTATATTCCCACAAACTAATAAGAGATGTATATTCCACAAACCATTTAGTCTACAGTCCACAAAGACTACATAAAGTATAAAGTACTTTTTGGTTGGACTATTATTATTATAAACATAATCTATGTTTAGTCTAGGTTCTGTCACTGTCACGCACAGATAGTGCCGTACTGCAACCGACGCGTACCGATAGCGATCGATGTGACGTCAGCGTTTCACTATCGAAAAATATAAGAAATGGGAACATCCCGACCGACGGGGGCTATGTTTCTCGACCAATCACGATCGAGCGTTCAATAGTTATTTACAAACACTCTTAACTCTCAAATATATAGTGTATGATCTATGCTCTTAACTATGGTTATTTAGTTTGTGCAAAGTTTGTTACACTCAAGGGAAACGTACCTACTGTTTGTGTTTATTTTTTGTGAATACTTCTGCAAAATAAATGATAAAATAATAAATCACGACAAGTAAGCAGAACTCCAAAGTTCTGTAAATATATTTACTTTATTTTTTTCCATCCTCTAAGGTAAATATCTGATGAGATGGAATTTAACCTCTACAATCGCGGCATCACGACATAATCAAGTGATTACAAGCCACAGCCAAGAACAAGTCCCTTTCAATTACGAAACATTTTGGCTTACCTTAAGGTAAAAAGTGAATTTTGTCCAATTAATGCAATCAAAACACAAATATCTAACAGTGAAATATAAGAAGAAAGCGCGTCGTTAAGAGTACCGACGTAAACACGAAGAGCCGATAAAAATATCGAATCTTAACGAAACCTAATGAACGTATCGAACTGAATTGTCGTTATGATCGGTTAGAGTAGTGTACAGAATAGCATTTGTCTACAAAATCGATACCGTTGGTAAAACCGCATAACGAATATCGAATAGCGAGCCTCAACGATTACAGAATACCTCTCCTGTAGGGCTAGCACGACGGGGCGCGACTTGCGCGAGAGCGAAATAAAGCGCGAGATCACTATGCGAGAATAGCAGTATCTCGCGCTAGTCACGCCCTGTCGTATTAGCCCTTCTGGTGCGTTTAATAATGTCAATCTACATGTACTGTCAAAAGAGCTAAAGTTGCTACGACTAACTAAAAAAAATGTGCAATGGATTTTTAAGTTTTTGCATGGTAGAGAAAGAAAGAAAGAAAGAAATCATTTATTCCTTGAAACACAGTACACATGCATTATATAAGAATAATAATAATAATACTGATAATAATAGTAATAATAACCTAAGGATTTGAAACAAATACATATAATATATAGAGTATAAAGCGTGTGTGCTGTGCTGCCAAGGAAACCGTGACCCACTCAGCTTGTAGTCGTCTCACATTCAAGTGCTACGACGCTGATTTTCAGCGGATCCGGCAACAGAACACACGTGACACGAAACAGTAGCCGACACTAAAGACATTGGATGACACAAGCACATAATTATATTAATTTAAACACAAAACATGAACAGTCTATTCCATTAAGATACAATTAACGTAGTTACCATTTAATAAGTACTATGTCATGCGCAACAGATTACAATACAATTGAATGTAAATTAATATGATAAAATAGGAAAGTTATAAAATAGGGTTTAATTAATTGATTGAGAGGTTAGACAACAAATTACAATACAATTGAATGGAAGTTAATATGATAAAATAGGAACGTATATATATTTAATTTGATAAAATTATAAAATAAGGTTTAATTAATTAATTGAGAAGTTTGATTACAATTAAACAGACGAACAATATTAAACTAAAACGCATATGTCCCCGGCACATCAGCAGCTACGATGGTTATTTTTGAAGATTTAGTAGATACTCTTTGAGTAACGAGGTAGCTTTTCTGACTGGCGGAGGTATATTATTCCAGCATTTCGAGGCAGCATAACGAAAGCTACCTCGAAAGCGTGCCGTTCTGTGACGGGGACATACGAGATGAGATGCATGTCTAACAATGCATGGATGAAAAACTTAGCTTCTTATGTAAGTATAACGGCTGCTTACTCATCATGACTCCAAATAGTAAAGAAGCAAAATGTAATTTCCGTCGGGCCTACATTTTAAGCATGCTTGCATTATTTAAAAAAAGAGTGACATGTGTTCGACGTGGTATAGGGAAACAAAATGTGGTACACGCATTCTGCAAGCGCTGGATAAAGTTTTTTGTGCGTACAAGCAGACAGCCTCCAAATACAGAGTCAGCGTAATTTAGCTTCGAGAGGAAGTCGCAAAAAGGAGTCGCAAAGTTTTATGCGTAAGTCCACATTAATATATTTTCTAATGCGATATAAAACCTTTAAGCGATAGAAGCAGTTACAGATTGTGTCAAGCACATGTCTTTCAAAGTGAAGGGAACCATCTAAGAGAACACCCAAATTTCTCGCTTCCAATACACGCTGTACAGAGTTACCAGATACAGTTAACTGAGGATTGCGGGACGATATCCCTTCAACTTGACGCCTTGTACCAAGTATTATGAACTTTGATTTATCTGGATTTAGCACCAGGTTGTTTGACTCTGACCATTTGGCAATTCTATCGACGTCTTCGTTCAGATGACTAACCGCGGTCCGTGTTTCAACAGGTAAAAGAAGCATAAATTAGTAAATCGTCGGCGTACAAATGGCATCTAGAGTTTCTAACATAATCCGATATGTCGGCAGTATAAATAATAAACAAGATAGGTCCAAGGATGGACCCCTGAGGAACCCCTCTAGCAACCGTGGCGGCACCAGAAAACATAGAGAATCCGTCCTCACCGCGCACTTCCACTCGTATACGACTGCAAAGATAGCTACTAAACCATTTAACGGCATTACGGTCAGCCATAGTAAATTAGCTTAGAAATTAAAAGCTGGATGTCAACGGTATCAAAAGCGCGGAAAAAATCAAGTAAGTTGAGAATGGATCCCTTTCCCGTATCCTGCGCAGACAAAATACCATCAACTACGTCCAGCAATGCTGTAGTAGTGTTATGTCTCTTCCTGAAATCTGATTGTTTCGAAGGCAAGATTCCGTTGGTCTCCAGGTACTCTGTCAATTGCCACATCACCACCTTTTCGACTATTTTTGACATGTATGGTAGGATGCTTATTGGTCGAAGGTCCTTGAGCTCTGATGGAGTATTGACCTTTGGGATGGGTCTAATTTTCGCTAATTTCCATTGGTCCACTTGGCAAGGACAGTCACTTGTCTTAATGGACTGATTGACTAAAGCTGTGATAAATTTTAAAGTATACGGCGAGTTAAGCAATACCATATCACGAGAAATGTCATCCATACCGCTGGCGTTACTTTCAATTGCCAAAATGGCTTTGGATACAGTCGACTCTGTGACCTTGCGAAAATTAAAAACTGCAGTACCATGCCTACGAGAAGAAAAACTGGATAGGTGGGCTTTGTCTACTTTATTACTACTATATTACTGGTGGTAAATTTAGTAAATGAGCATTTATTTTATCTGGGTCCCTCAAATGTGGAGGGATGTCGCAATCTTTGGCCTTGAAGTCAGCTACATTTTTTTAAATATTCTTCCAAAGATGATGTGGGTTTTGAGATTTGGAAACACATTGCTGGAAAAACACAGTTTTCTCAGCATTTATTGCATTATAATACTAGTTTTTTTAGATCTTTATAATAAGTTTTATGTGAATTCACCCCAGTATTTAGAGATCTCCGATGGGCTTCGTCACGAGGTTTCATCATCTGTCTAACATTGTATGTAAGCCAGGGAAGCATTCGCTGCCTGACAACAATTCTCTTTTTAGGCGCATAATGATTGAATAAGTTATGCAAGCAGGCGCTAAAATTACAGTTTATTAATTAATCGATCCCAATCCGTTGCCCTAATGTCTGTGTTGAACGCATCTATGTCAATATTAGCTAGTGGACGATAAACAATATGTTTTGGGAGTACCTTTACCTTTCTCACACCGATTTTACCCGTGACGAATGCATGACCACCAAGATCCGGTATATAATCAACTATTTTCATACTTTAACACATAATGCCTATCAATGTTTCGCTATGATGGGTAAAGTGTGTCGCGTGTTTAACATATTGCACAAGATTTAAGCAATGTAAGAAATCTAATAGATTTTTTGTAGAAGTGTCTTCAATATCTAAAAGGTTCACGTTAAAATCACCAACTAGCGCCACATGATCAAATGACGAAAAAGAAACGATGGAATCCGTAAGGGCGTCGATAAAAATCTACAGGGCCAGTCACTGTGGGCGATAATCAGTCCCAATGGCAAGTTTAACAGAGTTAACAGTAAGACCAAGCCGCATCTGTTCCACGGTTGGAGGGGCAGGTGGATGAGGTAGGAGTCGCACGTTAATGCCATGTTTAATACAAAAGGCCACTCCACCGCCAAGCCCGTGTCGCTCCGTTGGAGGACGAGGAATATGACGAAGCCTGTAACCCGGAACTGTGGGAGCACGCCGCTCTTCCCCCGCTCTAAGCCAGGTCTCATGAATTCATCATGGCGGGAGCCAAGCGATCCAGCGTTTAAAAGACCAATAGAGAAGTTTTCACCTCGTACAAATTGGACAATATAAGAACAAAATAATTGCAAGTGCTCCTCGTGTAAAAGGTAGAACCTAAGTACAGTTATATGTCGCCTGTCGGACATAAAGAACCAACTGCAACCCTGGTAAAAGAACTCGAAGACGAAACAAACTCGACATGGAGCACGCCGACGGAAACACTTAGATCTCCGTAACTTATTATTAACAACATTTATGAAAAAAAATTGAATTGCAATTACAAATCGAATAAGTAAAATTGACTGACAAAGACACAATAAGACAATAGGAGATGCATATACATATATACATGCAAATAAATTGATGAAAATAATAATTAATAATATTGAGTCCATTATTATAAAACAATAATACTAAAACTGCATTAATTTCTAATTTCAGAAGAACTAACAGCATCGGGTCCAAAAACCCTAGTGATATCTGCCATCGAATGTAGGCGTTGTGGTGGAGAATCTGCAAAGGCGCACGTATATACGCCGGTCTCTAATCCACACAAAACGCCAGTTGAGTCATTTGGACACTTCTCGCGCACGCTGGAACAATTGCCGATTCACTTGTGTCAACCTCTCGTTAACATAGAACCGGCGTGGTGGATGGATCTGTATCCGTGGTGGCACCGCGACGAACACGAGCAGCTTGCAGGAGCTGGTTGCGCCCGGGCGGCGTCGTGGTGAATGTTCACTGATCCCACGGCGCCGACTCAACTGGCGAGAGGGAAACCCGGGGCGGTTTTAGTGGGGTAGGCCCTCCAGTCTGGAGGGAGAGTCCCCACATAACCCCTGAGTCTCCCTGGGCTCAGGGGTATCCATAAAGATTTCCCCCCGTAAAAAAAAAAAAAAAAGGAGCTGGTTGCGTACAGTTCTGCGAGCAAGGCGTACCACTATATGACGGGGACGAGGTGCCTCCGCCCCATCCGAGGAAATAGGCGTACGACCCACTCGATTGGCGCTGACGATGTCCTGGTCCTCAAGTTTTACACCTAGCTTGCCTGCCAGCGTGAAGGCAATGTGCTGCAGACTTTCCACTTTCTGCTCCGGCACGCATGAAATTTCTAGATCGTGTAGGAGAAGATCTTGGTCTTTATCGTTAATCTCTGCCTTCAACTGTTCAATTGGCGCTAGCACTTCCTTGTTCGTGTAGTTGTCGCAGGGATTCTGATCAAGACGACGCTCAACAATATCGACGCGTGCGGTCAATTTGTCAACACGTAGGTCACACTCATCCATCCTCTGCGTTAGATTGGCAATAGCAGTGGTCAAATTCGTCATTTGCAGGCGTGTAGCTCTCATTTCCTCCCTGAGTGCGCGAAGTTCATCAAGGAAAACCTGGTCTTCTAATTTCGGTGAGCAGTACGTGTTGAGTGTGGCACGGTGTGTAACGGTGATACATCTTGAGGCGGACTTCGTAAAGAGGCTCCCCGACGAGTATTAACATTGCCGCGCACCGGTGTGTGTGTGTTATCTTTTTTTAGCATTTTACTTACACAGGCCACACATTTCCAAGATGCCTTATGCTCGGGTGTCATCGTATTCAAATATCGTTGTTCTGACACATTTGCGCATGGTAGATCGTAATACTTAATATATTTGCAGCACGTTATATATTGCCTTCCCTCTATGTGAGATAAGCACCCAGCACATGTTTTTTTTTGTAGCAGGAACTGACATTTTTTATTTTAAAAGAATGATCCGATCAACACAAGAAAAAAAAATAATAGGAAAGAAACAGACTTAAATACCGGGGTTTGAACTCGCGACCGTTTCCTATATCCTCGAAATATCCTGCTGCACTATTACAGCGATACTCGTCTTTGCGAAATTAATGGTCGTCTTCCAGAACTCTACTCAATGCTCAAGTCAGGACTTGAGCAGACTTGAGTATGATTTCAAGCACTGGAAATACGACCCTAATGGCAAGGACTTGAGTATGATTTTCAGTGCTCACTGCAATACTCAAGTCCTGACTTGAGTATTGAGTAGAGTTCTGGAATACGACCCTAAGAATCCGCTACGATGTAAAAGGTCGATGAACTGCGCGGGTGCAATGCACTCCGAAGGTCGCCCACTCAATAATCACCGTCACTATTCAAAAAATTGTTCGAATTAACGTGAATTCCGATAACTACTTGTCACTTTGTACCGTTTAATAATAATATACACAGTTTGTTAGAGTAGAAGCTAAGGAACAATTTGATGTATATTTTATCGTAAATAACACAACATATAACAACAACATAACATAACAATTAACAACACAGTAGCATGTCTACTCTCTGTTCCGCGCCCCGCGCATCCTCCAAGAGAGGTACATGCGAAATTTAAAAACTATGTGATTGATCCTAGAGAGTCGTATCGAGAAGGGTTTGTCAAGATGGATGGAATATTAATCCCTTTAATATTTCTGTTGTATATAAACAAGCTCAATTATGTTTTAAGTTCAAAAGTAAGCAACTTGCAATTTGCTGATGATCTAGTGGTTTATTCCTCAGGTTCAGATTTACAATCGACTGTAAATAAATTAAATCTTGCTTTAAAGACATTAAATAATTATTTTAAGTACTTAAACTTAGATATAAATGCTCGTAAGACCAAAACAGTTATTTTTAATGGAGTGGGCATTAAACGAAAACACTACAAAATCGTTTACAACAATTCTGAGTTATCTTTTGCTGACTCCGTAAAATTTTTAGGTGTTATTTTTATAAAAAACGTGTCGTGGAACAAACATGTCGAGCACATTACCCTACGAGTTTCAAAGGCATTAAATATTTTAAAATCATTATCATCAACGTACTGGGGTTCAGATCCTAAAGGACTATTGAATTTATGCAAGTCACAAAAATTTAGTTTAATACGCAGCCACTTCGAATATGGTTTCCTTTGCTTTGCATCAAATGATAAGTTGATCCAAAAATTAGATATTCTCCAGAATCACAGCATAAGAGCTATTACAGACGCTTTCAGAACAACCCCAATTAACTCCTTGCAGGTAGAATGTAATGTTCCCCCTTTAATCCTGAGATTTAAATAAATTCAATTTCCTTCTGCACTTAAGTTAGTTAAATTCAAATGTCCTTTTAAAAAAAATTATAATTTATTTAATTTCTTTTCCTTCAGTGATCTTTCTTCTGTCCCATTCATTCTTCATGACTTTCAATATAAATGAAATAAAACTGCGCAATAATTTACATATAAATGAACAGAACTGGACTTGTTTTAACGGAAGCTACGAAAGCAAATATACTACCATCCCTATTCACATTGATCCAAACTTGAAAAACAAGGAAGAAACATATCAGAAAATTTTCACTTTTAAAGATCTTACACGGATGGTTCAAAGTCGGCCTCTACCTGCTCATTTGCTTTTTATGTACCACATTTTAAATTCGGTTATGGAGAATAGCTAACAGAATATCTTAGTATCTTCTCTGCAGAATCTCTGGCTATTCTTAAAGTCCTCCAATTTATAAATCAAAGCACACACAGAAACGGGTGGCTAATTGTGACGGATAGTATGAGCGTCTTAAAATATCTACAAAGCACAAATATGAACAGCAAAGTTAATTATATTATTTATGACATTAAAAAAATGTGGTTGCAACTACGTCGTAATGACAATATTCACGTGGAATTTATGTGAGCACCGGATCATATTGGTGTGAGAAACAATGAGAGCGCAGATTTTCTTGCGAAAACTGCATGCAACTTCAATTGAAGCCAAGGCACTGATGAGGGCAGCATTGTCTCATATGGCGTCCATTATACAGACTTAGTATCTAAGATCTTGAAAGATATCCTCTCTGAATGGTCCGCTCGTTGCAACCATACTAAAATACACAAAGGTTCCTGGTATGCTTCCATTAATCAAGGTATTGGGAAAAAACCTCGGTTCTCCAAATCACAACAATTTAGAGGACGAAAATTTTATACAGTTATATCTCGCTTACGATTTGGCCACTGTCGCATCAATGCATAATTACACAAAATGAAAATAGCTCTGTCGCCTAAATGCACAGAATGCAACTCAGACTTGGATCAAACACTGGACCACATATTATTTGTTTGCCCCCATTATAATATTCAGCGCTTGGCCTTAATTGACAAGCTAACATCTATTTACCAACCTTCGAGTCCGATCCTGCGCGGTACTCAAGAGCTTCTCAAAAACCTTGAAACTTACAATCATATTTATATATTTTTTTGTTCTACTATAGAAGATCTTTAGAATGGATTTGGATTTAATCAGAATTAATGAAATATTCGGAATTGACGATCATTGGACTTAATATAATCCCCGGAATTGAAACTAACCCGGCATTAGAACTTTATACCCTGACTTGACCCTAATCTGATACGACCCAATGAAGACGAGGTTTAATGCCTATAAAATAAATACTGGACAGAAGACTTGGCGTATGCCTATTTTTTATTAAAAATAAGAAGAAGAATTTGTATGGTGGAAAAATATGGTTGTATGGTTTGAAACCTTTGCCTTTTCCTTTACGGAAAGAATTGAAAAAACAAACAACGAAACGAACGTAACGAAATGTCAAAATAGATAGACCCTCAAAAGTAAAAAAACGTAAAAAGGATAAAATAAATCAACCATGACCCATCAAAGTGAAAACTTTGATTTTTCTGGCCTTTTCAAATTGGACGTTCTTGTGCAGCTTGATATATTAGCACATAGCTTTTACGAAGTGGGTCTGAAGAAGTATTTGGCCGTTTCTAGTGATAGAGAGTTGGTGTTTATATACATAAATCCTCAAGAAGACAGATCAGATAAGAATTATGATTGGGATTTTGTAGATAATCCAATTTATTGTATGTGTTTTGAGCCTAGTGGCACTTGGCTGTTAATTGTTAGCGAGGAAAAAGTTCTTCTCGTACCATTTCTACCTATATTTATGTCACAAAATACCTTCGATCACAAGTGGTCGCTTTCTAGTGTTACAGTGTTGCCTTTGGGCAATTTATCAAAACCTTCTTCAGTGGTATGGTGGCTGACAAAAAATTCTGACAACATATTGATTATTGGATCCAAGGTATGTTGCAGAAATATGTGTAAATTTTATTAGCCTGTAACATCGAGGACATTTGGATGTCCTTGATGATACTTGACTTAATACTTTATCTATCATTTATCTATAAAATTATTAACAGTCACTAGCTGCTTTCATTGCACCAAACTTCTTTTAATAAAGTTATTCTATTATTATATATATTAGTTCAATGAAAACAAGCATGTATACACTGTACTGTCAGGTAGTTGTAATGTTACACTATTTAAAATTTGTACGTACTTTTCAGAATGGGACAATATCCTTCTATTCCCTGGAGTCACAGAGCGTCATTGGGGAGACCAAAGTGTCAGGAGAGATAATAGATTTACAAATATGTTTTGATGACTCATTAGACTTGCTCACTCTATTGGTAAAATTTGCTCACAAATATTATTTATTTTACTCAACAAAAAACACAATAACAAAATAAAGCTTTGGAGTTACATGCTTAAGAACATTTTATTTCTTAATAACTGGTTTGATATTATAGTATATACAGGGTTATTTTTAAAATAATAACAACCTCACAAGACCGGACAGAATACGTAAGGATAAATTTAAGTAATGAGAAAAGGCAAATTGTAAATCACAAGACATTTGTAATGTTTTCATTAGACCTGCTTACTACAAATTATCTCTCATTTGATTGTTAGGGAAATAAAACTAAAAAAAGAAGGTACTGTCAAACTATACACTTATATTCGAATATCGCCTGCAGTGCAATTTCAACTGATCCGTCAATGTGTAGCTTGATGTGCTGCCATCTGTACATACTGTTTCTAATACTGTTTTATTTATTGATATTTTTGTCATTGATGGATACCAGCCCATAAATTTCCAGACATCTTCTACTTCATTGGAGATCAATTGGAATAAATCACAATGTGTCTTTCTTTAAGATCTCTGGTAACAAAACGCAACAATGGAAGCTAGTTCTCGAGCACAGATCTATTGGCTACAACTGGTTGCAGCAAATGAGACATCAGACTGACAGTAACAAGAAAGACGGTTTCATGTCATATATAAAACAGTTATCCAAGGATAAGATCACTTTCCTTACACAGGGAGGCTCTAAAGGTAATGTTAGCATTTAAAGTGTAATTTTATCATAATCAATGAATGATCTAATCATCCAATTATCAAATTTTTTTTAAATCTAATTTTTAATAAGGCCAATGGGTGTCAATGTCGGCCTTGTGATGTCAATCCCTGTGAATTATTCTATGCTATTGTGCCACCTCGGCAAGACCTCACATGAGTACAGAGTTTTAGCCCTCTTCACCAATGGGTTACCCAATAAAACATTTAACTCCCCGACTTGTCAAATATCCCTAATTGAAATTGGCTTCACAGAGCCACATAATGGACACATTCCATAAAATGTGTATAAGCATATCTTCAAGTTTGTTACAAAATTTACATAGTCGAGATTCTGCTCTTTTTATTAGATGATAAAACTTAAAACTTATTTAAAGGGAAGGTGGCCAGTACGAAGTCTAAAATCTAAGACCAATGTATTTTTAGATAGTGTGTCATCTACAAACCAAGGTTTTCTTAGCTCAACTATTTTTTATTGTTTAACAGATGACAGCAAGTGTACAGTAGAATATGTGCTTAAACCAACTGAGTACTTGCCTTTGTTCAGAAAGGGATCCAATAATTGGACTTTGACAGCTCAATATGTAAATGGACGACACTTTTTAACAGCCTTTGAATTGAATGAAGGAACATTGATTGTAAGTATTAGGTAAACTTCAAACTTACATATGTTGCACAATGGACAGAGCAATAACTGTACTATAGTTTCAAACCAAAACACAATTACAGAGTTGTCCCAGAACAGTGTTTTATAATTTCTAACAACAAAAGGCTTTTTAATATAAATAGCTTATACTGTGAAATACAATTGTAAGGGCTGAATAAAATTGTTTGAGTTATAATGTACAAATTAATTTAATGTATTACATTGTTAACCTCAAAAGTTATATAAAACTGAAAAATTATTTTTCAGCTTTTTCTTAAAATGCTGTTTTTGATGTTATAATGTATTGGTTGACAGGGTAGTGTATTATTATATTATTTTTTCTAATCAGTTGGTACAGGTACCATGTTCAATACCAAAACTAAGTTTGTACACTGATTTAGTGAACATGTCTAGACACAGGTTTACGGGACAAACATTCTTTATAGCATTAGTAAATTTGCTACAGTTTAATATTAACCTTACACTCAATTACTCTGTGCTCTAGCTTGAAAGTCCAGAAGAAGAAACACCATCAAGAACGTTGAGGCCTAAAATTAAAAAAGACTGTCAATATGTGCTGGGATTGTGGTCACAAAGACTTATTTACTTATTGCGAAAGAATGTATTGGAAATTCATAGTGCTAGTTTTTCTGTCATACAGGTAATCTATGTATTATTTAATCTATTTAGCTTTAAACGCTTCCAACATTAACGAAAATCCGTGGAGAGGCTGTGCTGAATTATATACTACATTGTAGCATGTGATGCTATTTACAAATTGGCCAATTTTTAAGGCCATTTATGGACACCAACTGTGTTTACATGTATTCAGAGATATTTACAGGTTTTAATTCTAGGTAATACAAAGATACTGGATTATAATACTGAAATGATTTTTTCTTTCCATCAACTATTAGGGAGAATCCTTACTAGGAACAAAAAGAGAATTTACTGAACTATGGGCCGCTGAAATGATAGGTGAAGTTCGGAGAGGTTACCTAATGTCTACAAAGGAACCGTCCGCGTTTACGGGCGGATGGCGCGAACCTACTTTTATGTGTGATCTACAACTGCCAAGATTTCATATTGAGCCTTGCTTAGTTGTTACTACTAATGGAGTTTACATTTTGAACACTGTGTAAGTATATTTAACTTCACATTTTATCAATAGTTCTTTGTAAAGGAATATTGCTACACTTGCTTAGCTTTTTTACATTAGTATTTTTACTGTTTCTTCGTTCGGTTATTTTCGACGAGAAAAATGGCAATAAGTGTGTTCTATCTATTAGCCGATGTTAAAAATCAACATTTGCTCCATATATAATAATACCTTTTATGTTCTGGGGTTTAACAGATGGTATGGATGGATGGATAACAGGGTATGTCAAAATCAAATGCACCAACTCAGTTTATGGCTAAGTTACCTGGCATCAATTTTTGGTGCATTACTTCATATTATTATAGTTAAATAACACTAACTTAAAATCAAACTTAAAAAAAATACGGAATCGAGGCACATAATACTTAACTGTATGTTTGTATTATTATTGATACAAAGAGCAAACAAACATAAACAAAAATTCCTTTGATCCGGCTGGACTCGAAGCAGCGTTTGTTGCATCAACGTGGCTTTATGATTGATTATATTTCAATGTGGCTACTTTATGTCTTTGCCTACAGCTTTCATTTTATGTATTTATTGCCTTAGTTTCATGGCATTCAAATTTTCAGAGATTTATATTATTTAACTACCTTCTGTGGCCGAACGGTTACCATGTCGGACTGTCACGCAGCGTGACAAGTTCGATTCCCGGTCTGGGAGAAATGTTTGTGTGGCCTACATTTATTTATTTCGTGAGTTTGGGTGTAATTTGTGATTGTCTATGTGTGAGTCCATGGCACCCGCGACACAGGGTTTCCTTAGTGCGGAGCTATGAATGTGTACGTTATTATTATATTTGCCTATTATTGCTTTAGCTGCGAGCCGTGCGAGTGGCTGGTGGGATTGGTGATGCGCGGCGGCACAGGTGCGGAACAGTCCGCAGCGGCGCTGGCGGCGCCCGTACCAACACTGTTGCGCGCCGCAGCGGATATGCTATTGTCCAGGGGCAAGATCGCGCCTGCACACTATTTATATTCATTATCGCAAGTAAGAAGAAGCATATAAATTAAAAATGTTTTAAACTAGCCAATTGGCTACATCATTCTGTGCATTGTTACGAAAATAACTATTTATTTATTAACGTAAATGTTACGTACGCCCAGGTAAGTGTATTCTGCCCTCGGAACGTAAAAAGGCACAACTGCCGTATAAAGTACCCATAGTTGTGCCTTTTCTCGTTATAAGGGCAGCGTTGGAGGATATTTTTGAAAAAAAAGTAAGGAGCAAAATTGACTAAAAAGTTTCTTGTGTTTTTTTTTAAGATATGCGAGCTATTCATATAAATATTTTGCACGTTTTCGAATGTTTAGGAATAACATTGAATATGAAATTGCATTTAAATTTCACTGCATAATATCTAAATTCGTGTGTGTTATGCGTAAAATTGATTTTACAGTGTGCACCCGACGGTTGGGTGGGGCGTCTCGGGGTTTTTGGGAGACTCCACGAGCTCTCTATGTACAAACAATCTGGGAACGTGAGTAGCTTGGGCAACGCAGCTATTACGATCAAACTGTTAGCGCTTTTGCTCAAAGTTGGCACCAACAGTGAAGAAAAGTTTGACATGTGAGTTTTTTTAATGACTTCTTGCTGGATCAGCTTATATTCTCCAATCTCGCTTAACCCGTTCATGGACAGTACAGTCTGTCTTTTTTGAAGACGGTATAAAATGACATTTGTAGGGTTGCCAATTTTTTTAATTTGAATGGTTATGTAGTTGTTATTGACAGTTTTGTATTGAAAATGTCTGAATTGTGAATGTTACGACGTCTTAATTACTTACTTACGATTACTAATTGCATTATTGCCTTCTTCATTCTTATTTTGAAAGCTGGCCTACTGGTTTCAAAATAAATTTCGATTCATACACACTTTAATAAGAACATGCGGATTTGATTATCTAGATTGAATTAAAATGAAAACCTGTAAAATATGTCTCCTCGTTGTATTTTTAATAGAGATAGTTGTGAATGTGAAAATGCAGTGTGTGAATGTATGTATGAACTTACAAAACTTGTAAGTTACAAAAATTGACAATTCCAGTAGTTGGATGAATAGTCTTCCGATAATGATTTAAATGAAACAAATTCGACTATGTATTGCATGCATGACGAACATTCAGTCGATAATCGATATAATATTATCGACTCTGATCACTAGCTGTTTGTCAGCGGGTAACACTTGCGCAATGAACTGTCATTTTACTCCATCTTCAAAAAAGACGGACTGTAGGTACCGCACACCTTTTTTTTGTAAATTTATTTGTGGCGACAAACAATTGTTTAACAAGCTTTTTTTGGAGCTTTAATTGATATGAACCTGAAAATGTGGATTCCATATTTTATGACGCTGCCAAAGTCTAAAATGGACCTGACAAAAGTGAACTGAAAAATAAAATTAATTTTAAGGGTACTTATTTTATTAAATGGCTTACTGGTTCTAAATATAAATCCTAGTATACGAAATGCAAAGTATAACATGACGTGGTCTATGATTAAATGATAATTTTGAGTCCATAATTAAACCAAGGTCTCATACAGTGATACAGTGTCATAATAAACTTGTCTTTTAATTTTCATTCGTAATCGATGATATGAGATTTGCGCGGGTATGTAATTATATTAGATTTATTAATATTAAGAAGTAGTTGATTGGACTCACAATACTTATGTAAAGATTTTAGGTCTTCTTGCAATTGAATGCAATCATCAGATGATGATTGAAGGAGATGATGCTTTTTGTTTTCTTTTTCATTGTGCTGTAGTGCTTATATTGATTCAATATAATAATTCTTGTTTTATTTTTTATTTTATTTTATTTTAAAGGTACACTAACAGAATGTAATCATCAACAGTAATAGATACAGTTCGATACATTAATAGCCTAGACCACATTCGAAAAACAGTGTACACAGTTTCAATTAGGATAGTGTAAAGTTACAATCTCCAAATCCAAAACGAAGAGGACAAAAATTAAAAAAGAAAAAGAAAAAAGAAATTAATAAATAAATTTACAGAGTGATTTGTTCAAAGTTAAAAAACAATAGTAATAACAATATAACAGAACACAAAATGATCAAAAGCTAAAACTCAAAAGCAATACACGTAATTACATCTCGTATAGATTAATTTTCGAATTTAAAATGTCGAGATGAGCATAACCTTGCTGAAGTTCATCATAAGCTCGACACATTTTCACTATAGGGTTATAGAAAGAGGTATTCTGTGTAAAAGAAAGTACGGCTATGACAGTAGTAGAATGATTCCCGTTGTGTCATATTGAATTACTAAAAACATGTGCGGTTTAAAAAAAACAAATTAGTTAAATAAAACTTACTTTTGTTTTTAGAAAGTTCAATGGCATTACGTATCACCTCATACAAACACGTCGGTGTTCACCGTACTGACTTAATATACGCATCTTAAATATTTAACTGCCTCCGTGGCCGAACGTTTACCGGACTGCCACGCACAGGTCCCAGGTACGATCCCCGGGCCGGGAGAAATATTTGTATGGCCTACATTTATTTCTCTCGTAAGTTTGGATGTAATTTGTGGTTGTCTATGTGTGTGTCCATGGCACCAGAGACACAGGGTTTCCCTAGTGCGGTGCTATGTTGAGTGTGTGCGTTATTATTATTATTATGTACATGTAACGTCCACAAGTGTGTATATCATTGAATTTGAAATTACGGGCACATGGGACTTGTCAACCTATGTCTCACGGTGACGGGCGCTGTGGTAGTGCCCCTCAGATCTTTGCGAATGTAAGCTCTGAGTGGCTCTGCAACTGTTATGGATAGGCGTGTCGCTTAACACCAGAAGCACAACTTGATCGTCCCGTCAGTAGGTATTTAAAAAAATTGCGCTACACTATCTCGTACCCCGCACTATCATATTCTGATACTTAATATTTACGGTATACGCTGTTACTGTTTGTGAACGGGTTAATTAATTATTTTGAGAAATAAAGTCCCTATCAACTATTAAAAACTACTTATTTCCAGGGACGCTAGGTTCACAACCCTTACCACAGTGGAATTGCAAGAATTATCCTCCATAGCGGCTGCAATAGGTCTATGGGATTTATTGCCTGTGTTTAGCATACATCGCGGGCATCCAACTTTAATGCTTACGGCGCTGAAGGCACGTAGCGATTTATGTCGCGGTGCACTCAATAGCCTGCTGAGCGAGCGATGTCTCGTGCCTTTATTGTTAGAAGAAAACGCGCAATGGTTGTTCCATTTCGTCACTGGACAGTGCGATAAATTTGATACGAAGATTTTAAAGGTAACTTTCATATTGTAGATAAAATAAAAAATATTATTAATCGAAATACTACTAATAAAATACTAATTTGAGTTTAATTACAGGGCCTATGTTTGTGGTTGAATCCTCTACAAGACCAATTAAGGCCAGTTATGCGCGATTTGAAACAAGGAATAACATCAATCTATGTAAGTAACTATTTTGTCGCAAGTATAAATAATAAAGTACTTATTAGTAATGATGAAAGATACTTGCGTCTTGAAATTTAATTGAGTTATACCTGTTCGATCTTGTAAACAAGTGTTTTCAAAAAGTCGAACAGGTATAACTCAATTAATTTTTACGTACATATGTAACTTCTAATATCCACAAACTGTCGAAAAACCAAAACGTCTTGAAAAAGAATTTATATATATATATATAGGCGTGTGTGTGTGTGTGTGTGTGTGTGTGTGTGTGTGTGTGTGTGTGTGTGTGTGTCTGTGTCTGTGTGTCCGGCCATGGCACCCGCGACACCGGATTTCCCTAGTGCGGGGCAAAAAAAGATTGGAGCTATTAAAATTTGTAATAACTATATTGACGGGTTATGATTACCACATATATAAAAATAATCTTATCGTATTAAAAGGACAGAAATTGTCAGATTTTAATTATAATAGTAACGTAAGAAAATTTTACTTGAAACATTTTCCTTTGTTTGATTATACATAATGACATCGGATTTAATTGTGGTCATTGCGTTACATTAGTCGTTTCATATTTTCTTCTAGACGACACGCATGTTGAATCTCATAACAACATTCATCCATGTTGCAAGTGCAATAGAAGCCCGGAGTCCGTGTCAAGATATACACATAGAATTACCGCAGACCTCAGAAACTTGGAAGAACCAGTTTGTGTCCAAACGGATCGTGAGTTGTGGACTTGCCCACTGGGCAATTGTTGATGACGGCAATGCGAAAGTTATGGTTGCAAATACCCTGATCAATACAGAGGTTATTGGACGGGTGATCGATGTTGCCTGTGGACGACATCATACACTTGTTTTGACTGAGAATGGGGTGAGTTCTTGCTCGGTTTACAAAAATATAAAATGATCGTCTTCATGATATTCAATAAAAATCAAATTTTACAATGAATACAGCGACATTTCACGTCAGACTCTGGTAGCTCTAAAGGGACCGGCTGAGTAAAAAACTTCAGATCGCTCACAGGTGTCGTATACTGTGATAAAAGCAGAAAAATAATATAAAAAGATCTGTAACAAACATTTAGAGAAATTCGTAAGGCCTGCCGACTCGACCTGTTAGGTCAAATAAAGTTGTAGGTTAGGTTAAGCGCTGGCCCTGGGGGTCGATTCAGAACCTTACGATAACTCAGTTGTCGACCAATTTCTTTTCATTTTTATGTATGCAATAAATATAATATATACAACACCCGAATCGAACGTCAAACTGTCGTATTAGAAACCGAACCGTAATGACGTCACACGCGTACGATTACTCGAACTTCTCGACCGGTAAAGGCTACAAACGTTACTCAGAACGCATTTATCGAATGAAAGTTACCGAACGTCTTATTGTTTACAAAGCAGGAATGTAATATGGAAATTTCTTATTATTTTAAATAAAAACTGGATTTTATTCAATTTTATTAGTTTATTTTAATGCAAGACTAATTCATTCCTATATTTTAGGCCTTTAAAGTTTTAAAAATGTATATAAAAGGATTTTCATTTTTCTTATAATCTATTTCACCGACTAACTCCGTAAACTGTTGGATAACGATATCGTATCCTAATCCGAATCGAACGTTTAACTCGAATGTTCTGAATAGCTCGGAAAGCGCCCTTCGATTCGAGAACGATATCCAAATCGAACGATTCGGTTAAAATATCGAAGAGTTCTGAATCGGGGTCCTGGTTTGGTACAGATACAAGTTCGAGTTCTGTCAAGTTTCAGGAATATAAGTCATATTTTTTTGTCAATGACAACAAATCCTGCTAAGCGGAGTCACAAACCCTTCCTCTCATCTCGCGCTAACGGTTACCAAAGATCTGAACTGCTCTAAATTGCTTTTAACAATTTATAAACTCAAGCGTTAATTTGCGTCCATATATAATCCATATTAATAAAAATGTAAATTAAAAGTAAATTAGGTTTCGTGGAATAGCCAAGTAATTTACGTCCAGTTTTTATTACTTTAAACAGCCACAATAAAATGCTATAATTTACAGATATATTCCTCGGGAGACAACTCCTACGGCCAGTTAGGAATAGGCACTTCATGGCCAGGTGCGATAGGCGACGCAGCCTCTGCTACCGGAGCTCTAATGCATGTGGCCTACGAGTGGACCGCACCCCTTGTGTCTGTCGCAGCTGGACACTATCATTCCGCTGCTGTTGATATTGGCGGGCGTTTGTATACTTGGGGGTGAGATTGTATTGTTGACGTATGTATATTAAATTAATAGGACCCGTCTACATGGTCGATTATTGTGATGCGTATATAGATGTATAGTGATGCGTATAAATTTACGCAAGTCTGCGTTTGTTTATGTGAAAACGGTGTCTTGTGAAAGCCGACGGTTGTGTTAATAACTTGCCTTGATGTATTATTTGACATTATAATTTATTTAAATTCTCTGCTGCAATTAAAGGTTTATTTTAACTGTTTGGATATAAGGGTTATATTTAAAGTGATATTTTATGGGATTCAAGAGTTTCTCTGTAATAATTATATTCGCGCGTTTACGTGCCATTACAGAAACAGGCGAACCGACCTAGTGTAAAAACTAGGTCTACAAGTCGTCTTCGCTTGCTCAGCGTGTCCGTCAGGATGGCTGGAGTCAACGAGATATACAAATCAAACTGTGCTCATTATTTACTACCTATTTTCTACTATTTAGTACCTTTATTGACTTATTTTATACATTTGCGCTAACCGTTATTTTAAAGAAATAAAGTGGCCAGCCATTCTGACGACAGGTTGGCTGGACCACTTTTCATTTTTTGTGGTTCTAGCAGTATATAATTTACTTTTTTATATAACTATTTACTACTTAATTTCTACCTAAACATACTTTTTATTCGCTATTTTAGGAAGCTTCTATAAAAAGTTATTTAAAAAATAATAATTCAAATATTCTCAATGTAGATATTGAGGGACGACAAAAGATACTTAATTTATAGGTATATAAGCGGGTAGAAAGACACTGAACCATGATTAAAACGTTCATAAGTTTACAGTGTGCTATGATGAGGAACCGTAGAGGTGTATCTCGTATGTCGCGTACAAACCCTGAGCACATCTCGCCTATGTAATGGGGCAGGACACGTTGAGAGGTGCCCCGAGTGGACCTCCAGCCTCCCCTTTAGTCCAACCTCTGTCCAACAGGTTTCAAGCTTCAATCGCGGTACAAGCGTACATGTCAGCTACTACCAACCCGATTGATGCCAACGATAGGCACCCACAGTCATAAGCTTCAATGCGGGTCGAGTCAGCACGTGGCAAATTGATAGTCAAAGACCATGTTTCGTAACAATAGTAAACTCGACAATTAACTTAGTTGTGTGTCTTTCTCTAGATCATGAGCATATCTTCTTGGTCAGGGATCAGTTGTAATTCCCCCGCAGCCTTTTCTGTTATGTAGCTCCTTTGGCTGCCACTGTCCAGGAGGAGTCTGCCACTTTTCTCAATGTGACTATTTTTTTGATTGTACAATTTTTTTGATTGTACAATTTGACGACCGCTGTCTGCAAAAAAGTAAGTCCATTAGTCTTATTACATTCTGTGGGTTTGTAATGTGCTACAAGTAATTTAAACTCACTATCCTTCTGTGGGCAAAGAAGGGAATGATGATTTCTTTTACAACCGAAGCAAATCTTGTTTGATTTGCACTTATTGGCATTATGACCAATTTGAAGGCATTGGAAACATCGATTCTTCAATTTGTTTTTTCTATCTTCTATGGTCTTCACGTTGGGACATACGCTGGTAAAATGTTCTAGATCACCACAGAAGAGGCAAGGTAGTTTCTGTCGTTTTGCCTTTGAGTCCTTCGCCAAAGCCGTTGTTCCCTTTTTAGGTTCCCATTTGCGCTTTCGTCTTTGTTGATCCTTCCTTTCCCTGTTCGTATGTTTCTATGCCTTTGTGTGAGACTGTATGTGTAAAGCTTCAGTTGAAGCACCAACTGTGAAATCAAATTGAGAAGTATGAGGTTGGGCCTCCTCTTTGGCCATTATGATACGCTCCAAGCCACTCAGCATTTCCTTGACAGAACCGTCAGTACTACTCATAATTTTAAGTTTATATCTTACACGATCTGGAAACTTTTGTAAAATCATAAACCGCAAGTGGTTCGCTTCTGCATTTTCACCAAGGGACTTCAAAGTTCTTAGATGATGCTGAATTATGTTGAATGTTATTCTACAATCGGTCGCAGAATCTCCTGCCTTAAGTATTTCACTTTATGCCTTGTAATGGGCTTCAATCACTAAGTTTTTCTTTCCGAACCTATCCTTCAGCATATCTATAGCAATTTGAAGATTCTCTTTTGTTACACAAACACCTTTAGCGATGTCTCGAGCTGCACCATCTAGACAGCCTAAGAGATAGGCTAGGTTATCCACAGGTTTAATGTCTCTAGTTAAGACACTGGCTTCAAATCGGTCCCAAATTCACTAAAATTTAAAATATCGCCATCAAATCTGGGAAGAGTCAAAATAGGGAGCTTTGTAACATGACTATGAGTAGGTTTCTGATCCTGGCTTTTCTATTGAATAAAGGAGCAAAGCAGTGTTACCACAATACAAACAATGGGTGAAGTTCGTTTACTCATCAAATGATTGATTATCGCGTGATTCGCGACAGAAGCTTCCTAAAATGGTGAAAAAAAGTATGTTTAGGTAGATATTAGATAGTAAATATTTATGTAAAAAAAGTAAATTATATACTGCTGGAACCATGAAAAACGTAAAGTGGTCCAGAAAACCTGACGTCAGAATAGCTGGCCACTTTGCTTCTTTAAAATTTCGGTTAGCACAAAGATAGAAAATATGTCAATAAAGGTACAGGGTCAAGAGCACGTCACGTTTTACACTTAAGACTTAAATCCAACTCTACGCCGCTTACGGTCTTTACTTTACTTAAGAACGGTCCAAAGTACAAAGTGTCAAGCTTGATGTGCTCTTGACTGTACTAAATAGTAGAAAATAGGTAGTAAATAATGAGCATTTTGATTTGTATATCTCGTTTGACCCAGCCATCCTGACGGACACGCTCGTACGACGTACTTCCCTGGACGAACTCTTTAACAAGGAAAAGTTTCGTTGTTATTGCTGTCTTAGGGAGCCGACACACATTACCTTAGAATCAGCTTGAGTCGATCAGAAATAGCATTGTGTTGAAGCATAGGAACGAAAAGTTCCATTTCCGCTCGGATCGCTGACGCGAAATGCAGTCTCTTTCGCTCTTATTATATAACAACAAGTTAGCGTAGTTCAAGTAAAAATAATTCTGTTCAGGACTTATTCTAGGCGTTCTATTTCATACTTTTGTGTCATTATATCAAGCGAGCTTTTGATAGACTCAGAGTTCAATATAACAATGCGTCTCGTGCTATGCTGCGGCATCCCTAGAGTAGATGGTATATGTAAAATACATTGGTCTTTTCTTACGAGAGTGAGCGAATCGGCCAATATTATTGTGAGCTTTTTAAGCGAAGATACAATTTTTCAAATAAAAATATATTTCATACTTAATTGTACCTTAAATTCAGTTTAAGTTGTAGTTTATTCTTAATTAATTAATAATAATTTTCTTCTAATAAAATTTAATAGAAGTGTAATAGTAAATGAAACTATTTTTCCGGGTTTAAATCGCGTATATTTGTTTTTTTCAAACAAACCAGTGTTTCGGGCGCTTTACAGGTCCCATGGTCACGGTTGACTTCGAATACATTTGAAAAAAAAAACCAAATATTCGCGATTTAAATCCGGAAAAATAGTTTCATTTTCTATGTGTAACAATCGCGAAAACCTAAGATTTCGATAGAAATGCTATGTTGAATTATTAATGGTTTATTTATACCTAAATAAAGAAACATTTTATTTTATGTATGTTTGACCAGCTTAATGCGATTTCGTGTCGATAAGTGTGATGGATAACTGACGACTCTTTTGAACACGAGAACTTCCTTGTGTTATTCACACAAATCCGGACCAATATTGATTTTTTTTATTCAGGTGGGGTGTCCATGGCCAACTGGGTCTTGGAAGCATCGACGATGAATGCATCCCGCAATTAGTCACAAAGTTTCAAGGAAGGAAGGTAAAAATCACAATATTATCAAGACAATTATGAGACAATCTGCACATCGAAGAAGGTTAATTGATTGTTTAAAACTATAAAGCTGTAAAGCGCACAGTAGTACAGTCATACATGAGATACCGGACCCCCTAACCCCCAAACCGACTTTTTGGTTCTGAGAGCCATTTTACGAATTGAACGAACAAAAAATTGAAGCAATTTCAACTTTAATGGATACATAATACAGCGGAGTGTTGCTTGAAGATGATCAACATATTTTTAAAACCAATACTAAATTTGCCGTGGCAGAGTCTATACCAACTAAGCCACGGAACGACAAGCGGATCTCACGAACTTCTCTATGTGCTTGCGTCGTATCTTTGTATTTTTTCTTTTTAGTTTTAATATGCCGCAATTAACGGAATTATTAAAATTAGAAATTATTGTTTTGTATGAACAAGGCTTAGACATTCCTTACACCTATCCAGAGGTTAAAAACAAAAAAAAACATTATATAGTCATAGCCAAATAATATTTTATTTTTAATGTGGCTCGAACCATGCTTGCCTCAACTTGCAAAGCAATCTTTATACAGCTAGGTTACTACGGCCTTACTAAAGCTGGTTGAAATTTGTATTCTGTATTTAAGTAAGAACCATAACTTATAGATCAAATTGGCTTCAAAACTTTCTTACAATGTCATTCACTTATGAGACGACCAGGGAGTCATACCAAAATAAATTTTAAGGCTCACAGGTTAAAGATTAAGTTTGTTTAACAATTTTCTCCACTTTTTGTTCTCAAAACCAAAAGACTGACAAAGTCGGCTTGGGGGGTCAGGTATCTTGTGTATATGCCTGTACTTTGAATCTGTTTTATATCTCTAACCACACAAAACAGCACGACAAGACACCTTTGCGGGGAAGAATCCCCGCTCTAAATCTTACAACCCTCATTCCTAGTCGTGGCCTCTAGCGGCGTAACTGGTAATCACATAATTATAATTTCCATGCATTACTCTCAAAACAAATACTTCTAATAGCATTCTACTAATTCATACATATTGCAAAATGTGATGAACCTCCAGAGGTACAAAGGCCTCTGGCGGTATGACTATTACGAAGTTAAAATCAGTATGAATATAAGAAAATACGTAGTAAGTAGTGCCTATAGATATGTGCGGGGTTGAAGGGCGGCAGAAGGGTGACATATTTTACATAGCTAGCAGGATATCCTGCTAGCCATGTAAAATATGTCACCCTTTGTCTTTGGGATAGTAAACTAAACTAAACTATTAGTTAGCTCGGTTAGCTTAAGTTCGCGGTGTGGACCGAAGTATGAGAAGGTGCCCGGGCTACGTGAGCTAAGCTAAGTTAGCTTAGCTTTGTTCGCGATATGGCCTGCGCATTAAAATTATGCAATTACCTACATCACTTTGATTTTCACATAAAGTGAAAGTTATTATTAATTTAATATTTCAATAGCTATAATGAATTGTGATGGTTATTTAATGCTGTTTATATATAATGCTTATTTAAGTAAGATGTGATCATCATCAGTGGGGAAGCGATTACTATAAGTGACAAATGCAATGTGAACTGTACAGGGTGTAAATTTGAGATGGGGCAGCAAGGCCAGGCACTTTAATCGTTTTAGTTACAGGAAAACGGTTCTAGAAGACTATGGATAGAAATGAAATTTGAAGTTATTTTGATTGACTTTCACAGATTTTGGAAAAATGGTACAGTCAGCAAGATAAAAGGCAATTTTCACAAAACTTTTTTTTTTTGCTATTGGATCCGGTCTCTGTTAAGGATCAATAGTCTATGGGACCAACTGAGGTAAGAGTACTCGAAATGTCAGATCTCGCAAAAAACTTTTTACCATACATTTTGTAGGGACATATTTAGTAATCAGTTATTCTAGGTAGTTAAGGAAACTAACAAATTGACAACGTATTATGTACTAGTTAAATGAAATTTATAAAAAAAAAAATACAAGTGTTCAAGAATTGAAAGACTTACAGCAATTTTCAATGGAATCCATCCGAGTAAAATTTCAGCCGCTAATTTGCTCTTTGCGGAAGAGAGCGAATCGATGCATCCGCCAAGGCGGCAATAAATTCGAGCACTTACTATCATACATTTTTTATGTTATTTTGCTTTTTGTTATTGTTTTTATTTTGAAATACATGCATAATACGTTGTCAATTTGTTAGTTTCCTTAACCTAGAATAACTGATCACTAAATATGGCCCTCTAAATGTATGGTAAAAAGTTTTTTGCGATTTCTGACATTTCGAGTACTCTTACCTCAGTTGATCCCATACAGACTATTTTCCTTAACAGTGACCAGATCGAATGGCATAAAAAGTTTTGAAAAAATTGCCTTTTATCTTGCTGACTACAATTTTTCCAAAATCTGTGAATGCCAATCAAAGTATCTTCAAAATTAATGGATAGTCTTCTAGAAACACGCAAAATAGGCGCCTTGACGTCGAGTTGCGGACACCACCCCGTTACACCAAGTACCAAGTAGTCTTCTAGAACCGTTTTCCTGCAACTATAACGATGAATGGGGCTGGCCTTGCTGCCCCATTATTTTATAAAGTTCTAGTGTGGGTGGCTGTTGGCGCCGGCGTCATTGCCTCGGTCTTGAATGACGATTTTATTTTGTGCACATAAAATCCTATTTTATGCACTAGAGCATAAAATCCTATTTGATATCTATATATAAATCATATATGGGAAGTGAAAATATACTATTGGTCTTAAGCATCTTAAGTGACGATTCAGAGATGACAGTCTGCACCATTTTTTTCTATACCTATAAAAAAAAACTTTTCTTTATTTTTAACGTTCTACAAATATATGACTCAGGTTTAGCAAGTTAGAAGTTGGGCTCTGGTAGGTAATTCAAATAGGATTGTAAGCTTAGGCAGCTACTGTTTTGTATCTTGAAGATTTTAATTTTCATACTTTTTTACAATAACCTGCATTGCCCGATTCATAGGCAAAAGCCTCTCCGACTTCTTCCATTCTTCCCTGTTGTTGGCATATCCTTACCATCTCCTATAAACTCGTCTGGCGTTTCTTGCCGTTACTAGTTTTCTTTACCCGTCTTCCGGTATCTTAAGAAGTGGTGTCCAGCTCATCTCTATTTCGGTGTAATTATTTTGAGCACACCGCACTAGGGTTTATAGCGTTAAAGATAATATGAGGCTATCAGCTTAAGAGTGGTGTAACTCAAATTTATTTTTTTTCTTCAATATTACTTTAGATGATACTAAACTACATAATTATTATTACCTATATATTTGGATGCTATTTTCATGTATAAAAATATTTAATTCTCAATTAACTGCCTCCGTGGCCGAATGGTTATCATGCTGGACTGCCACGAAGAGGTCCCGGGTTTGATTCGAGGGCCGGGAAAAATATTTGTATGGCCTACATTTATTTCTCTCGTGAGTTTGGGTGTAATTTGTGGTTGTCTATGTGTGTTTCCATGGCATCCGTGATACAGAGTTTCGCTAGTGCGGGGCTATGGGTGTGTGCGTTATTATTATTATATTTTTTTAATAGATATTAATAGCATCTAAGTATAAAATAATGAATTTAATAATAATTATTATATAATATAATATAATATAATAAATTTGATATTAAATTTTGATATTAAATTTAAGAAAATATTGTAGAAAAAAATTAAATGTGGGTTACCGCTTTTGCGTTGACGACGCGATCGTCAAATTTTAAGTCTAGAATATTTCTTTCCATTGGTTTTTTGTAATCACTCTTAAGACCTAGATCGGCTCCAGGTTACTAACGATTGTCGATAGGTCCTGAGGGTCGGCTGCGGGGCGTCGCACACGACAGTACTAATGAAGAATGGTGAGGTGTGGGCCTTCGGAGCAGGCGTATTCGGGCAGCTCGGCAACGGTTCCAGGGAGAAGAGCTCCTTGCCTGTCAAGGTTGCTCTCGCGGACCCTATTGAGATGATTGCTGTGGGCTACTTTCATAATGTATGTCATTTATACCTATATAGGACATCACACGGCTATGCCGCACGGAGGGAAATTACCTTAAATACCGTAGAAAAGAAAATTTTACTTGGATAAGACTTCTTTTTGATTTTAAAAAGAATTCGAACTGCATTCAAAGATTTTTAAATAATCGCCTGTTTGAACTGGGAATCGAACCCGCTAAATATGAAAAAAAAAACTTAAAACTGGTTAATCTTTTTTATTTGAAGCCGCTTTTATTTTACGAATTTCCAGAAAGCGTTGCTTTTATTACGAAAGTTGCTTATGAACTTGACATCTTAAGTGGTTTATGGAAGTTGAATATTTGTCTCCCCAGTTGGCGCTGTCGGTCAAAGGCCAGCTATGGTCGTGGGGCGCGAGTCCGCAGCAGGTGCGAGCTGCGCACGCGCGGCGCACGGCCTCGCCCACGCCCGACCCCCCGCAGGATCCGCACCTGGTGCCGGCAATTGTGGACCTGCTCAACGTGCGGGGACGAATTGTACAAGTGAGCTCACCACTTGCAGCAGAAAATAATTTTGGCAGAATTTGTATTCCAATGTCCTACAAAGATCGGTTGTTTCATTTGGCGTGAACAATCATCATTACGCATACTTCGTCTTCTTGGCGTTCCTCTCCTATCAGAGGTTGGACAACATCATGGTAATCTTGACTTGAAAGGCTGCCGCTCTAAAGACGAAACGAGGTGGTACTGCAGCTGAACAATTCCTTCAAAATTGTTTAACCAGTGACCGTTTGTTTTCTGGCGATGTTGCCTTGGATGAAAAACTCGAGTAATTTTTACTTATTATTCCTCGTAACGTAGCCGAAATACGACATCTTCCTGCGCTTAATGATGTCATAAGCTCCACCAGTTTGTTTAGCCTATTGAGTATTTCTACATTTGTAATTATTACGCCATGATATTCCCAAGATACGGCGGTAAACACACATCTCAAAAGTACAAAGAAGCTGAAGCTTTATTGTGTACTGTGCGAGCATAGACTACTTTGTAAAGATTTTATCTTTTCCTTGTTTTACTTCCATATCGTTGTACTAATTTCAAAATAATGTAATTAATAGATTCAGGTGTTACTTTGCCGAAGTCCATATTAATAAAATGGAAGTAAATTAATTTGCAAAATAGCTAGCTATGTGTTCAATATTTTTTTCTTGCAGTTAATTTTCTGACCCCCCAGCAGGGAGCTATTTTGTACGATGAAAATTAAAATGACGTGTGCTTAAGGAGGAGATGCATAATTCAATATCTTTTTCTCATTTCTGTGGGCATTTTATAGGGAGATTTCATAAACATTTGCTCAATTTAAAAAATCCATTGGGTAATATGAAGACAACATTCGGAAGAAATAATAATTTATATTTAGTTATTAAATATTTTCTTTAAATAACGACTAGATAGCTACTAAAAAAATAGATAAAACGGCTAGCGCCGCGTTTTGCTTGGGACGCGCTTTAACCTCCACAGGGTTTGCAGAGCAACAAATTAATTTACTTCCATTTGTATTAAAATAATGTTGATAAAAAGCAGTGAAATTATTTAAAAAGTGTCGACCAAGTTTCATTTTCCTTCCAGTTGTCGGCTGGTTGGCATCACTCGTGCATTCTTAACAACATGGGCACAATATACTCCTGGGGGTTGAATTTTGACGGGCAACTGGGTGAGTAATTTACTTAATGTAGAATAAGCCGCAAAGTTGCAGAATTTTAAAGAACCACCAATCTCGAAATGGTATAGTGGTTGTGTAGGCTTTGAAGCGTGTGAGGTAGACGCGGAGAAATTCATTGCATTACTGTAGTAATGCAATGAATTTTTACATTATTGTAGTAAAAAATTCAAAGTTTGTGATTTTTTTATTAATCGAAGTGTAGTCAATAATGTCATAGGCCCTATAGTTTAATACTGGTATCTTCTGTTTACATTATTGCATAAAAAAAAGTTGAACTCGGAAAATCGGTTGTTCGACATTAAAAATACGCATTTTTAGATTTTCCGTGTTTTCGGGATACGTCAAAACGTCTATTTTGGGTCTCACTTCATCTTAAACCTAAGATCCTATGTAAGTTGTAACGATTGTATTATTATTATTTGTAATAAACGTAAGTGCTGTTAAGCTGTTACCTCTGAATTATTATTATTATTTTACAATATCAAGTGACGAGACGAAGAAGTCGTGCGCTTGATGGTAAGCTACACGCCTGTCCATGACAGTTGCTGCCACTCGAGAGTTTCAAATCGCAAAGATTTGAGGGACCCTGCCACTGAGCCCGTCACCCTGGGACGTAAGTTGAAAAGTCTCATGTGCCTGAATTTCACCAGCACCTTTACCCTTCCAAACCGGAATACAGTAACGCTGGCATTACTGCTTGGTGGCAGAAATAGGTAAAGTGGCAGTACTTCCCTGAACGAACTCTTTCACAAGGGTTCTACTGGTACTAAAAGGTTATGGTTAAAGTAAAAGGTGGTTGTGCCTGAACCGATCTCTAAGCAACACGCCGCCCTCGCGCCGTTAAAGTTGTACCTTTTTTTCTTAACATAATAGTCTTGTATTATCTCTATTACCTCAGCAAATTCCTATAAAGTAATATAGGTTATTGTTCTTAGAGCGGTTACAAACGGTGACACGGCGGATGCAAACGCGCGTTTCTAAAACGTGCAACATTTGCGATTTATAGGCGATTCCGTCACTGCAAACGCGCGACTGCGTCGATGCAGTCTCTTATGATATGGTAAATCACTATGTGTGAAAAATCGGTGTAGGTTTAAGCACATTGTTTTGCTATGTTTATTGTAAATTGAAAAGTGAAAAAATAAATTAATTAAAAATGTGTTTCTCGATTATATCGCTGCTTAAGTTACGAGTATGTGTGTGTAAAGATAGACGATTAGCGACTGCATCGTGACTGAATCGCTGCAGACGCGCTACTCAAACTCGCCGTGTGTAACAACAGCTCTTACCCTTAAACAGACGACACGACGAAAATCACGTTATTGATTTGATGACTTTTTAGGCAGTGGCGACAGGAAACAAATCCAAATACCTACAGAAGTGAAGGTTCGTAATGACGCACACCCGGATAGTGACAAAAACCAGAAGACCCCAGAGGGTGACATTAAAGCGACAAAGACGAATGCCTTGGTGGCGTGTGGAGGCGATTTTAGTATCTACATTGATGATGATGGACGGATTTATGCTACCGGAAGTACACATTTACAGGTAATGGGTTTTTTTAAGTTGTTATTATAAAGTTTTCGTATCAAGATAACAAAAATATGCCTTCGGTAAAGATTGTGTATTCAAAATTTATTTACGAATCACTCAACACACACTTTTTTCGTAAACATTCCAAGTTAACTTTTTAACTGTCTTCAAAAAAAAAGGAGGGAGGTTCTCAATTTGACTGTATATTTTTTGTATGTATGTTACGCGATAACTCGCATATTTGTGAACCGATTTTGATGATTTTTTTTTGTTGGAATGGAAAGTGGGTAACCCAGTAGTGGTCCTATTTAAATTTGAATAAAATATTCCACCTCTAAGGGTGGAATAACAAAAATAACAAAACTAGGGGTGAATCCGGTTTCGCGCACTTTCCGGTAACCGATTTCAATAAAACTTGGCAAATTGATGTAATTCCACGAACTTTTGAGGTCGGTTTAGTACTCTGTACTGAGATTTTTTTTATGATATACGCAACACGCCTGGCCATAATAATTGCATTGCCACTAAGAGCTTTAACTCACAAAGTTCTGAAGGGCACTGCCACCGCGCCCGTCACCCTGAGACATAAGATGACAAGTCCCATGTGCCTGTAATTTCACCAGCACCCTTATAACTATAATTCATCATATATATATATATATATATATATATATATATATATACACGTGTATATATATATATATATATGTATATATAGGCCTACAAGTTTTTGTGCCACTCCCCACGGTCCTATGTCATCTGGCCATGTCGCCGCTGGACGCCCGACATTCCTGTGCCCAGTCCTTAGACGGCACTTAGTTATAGTCTTACTCCATCAGTTATCTCGTCTCCGTGGTAGGTGCTCTGCCCAGCTCCACTTTAGTTCCATAATGCGATTCCCCACGTCTTTTACCTTCGTTCGTCTTCGAATTTGGACATTGGGAACACGGTCTATAAGCTTGATACTGAGCATGGCACTATTCTTAAGTCTTAATTGAAATACAAATTATCCAATACTGTCTTACATGTATTTAAAATACGAAATACAAAATACTTTCATGAGGTGAATTTGAAATAAAAAATACAAATTACCAAATACTTTACACATAAAATAATAGGGCAAGACAATAAGGCGGGGCAAGGAGTATTGGTTAGAAACGTGCTGCGCCGTCCGCGTAGTAGAATTGTGGCATAATATAATCAGTACATTAAAAAAAAGTATTTTGTTGAAATGTATTTTACAACGAAAGTATTTAAAATATCAGTTATAATATACATTTTAGGGTGTAATTGAAATACACATACAAAATATGTATTTGTATTGTAGATACATATTTTAATTACAAGTCATTCAATTACTGCCCAGCTCTGAATCTTTTAATTATTATTTACCTTTTGACGAAGAAAAGCCTAATACAATGTAAGGGTCGTTGCAGGTCGAACGAGAAAAGGATAGCAAATTAAACAACCGGGTAATCATGATGAAAACCACAAAACGTGTCATTAGAATACCGGCCAGCCGTGGAAGCAACAAATTTCTGTTCCAACCTGTCGACAGAATCGATATAATGTTTCCCTTCGATATCGAAGGTTTGCAAAGAAGGTCTATAGAATCCCAATCAAACCCATTAACTTCACACGAAGACTTCGATAAGAAAACTTGGGCTGACGCCGTCATCCTGCTACTTAAACCATGGATAAACGAAGAAAATCTAAGTGCAAATCTCAATATGGCTGCCAAGTTGACGTATCATAATAAACTGTACGCAGAATGCTTAAGGCTACTACTAGATAATTTAAAATGTTCACTTCAAGAGGATCATATTTATCTTAAACACACCGAACTACCCGACTGTGAAGAACCGGATAAAGCCAAAATTCGAACGAAAGAAGAACTTCGATTTGTCATTACAGACATCATGTCCAAACGAATCAAAGCTATATCGCTTAGCATTCTTAACGAGGATCCCTATCCCACTATTGACGATTCTACATATCAAACGCTGCCTTGCTGTTGTGATGAGGCAAGCTATTTTGCAAATGGAGTGACAAATAAATCAATTGTAAATATTACTGACCAGAATTTGTCTTTGAAAGCGGCAAATATTATAGACAAGTGCATTAGTATGTTCCCTGTCGATACGGACTTATGGGAAACTTGTTTTCGTCTATCTAAAAATTTCTTTTTGGAAAATGATCTTTGCATAGCCGAATTAGAGAGGGTTTTACGGAAATATATGGAGTCGAATGCAACCACAATGGCAGCTGCAATAATGTATTCGAATGACTGCACGCAGTACAGTAAAATTTTATCACCTAAGTTTTATTTGAATATGTGTAGCCAAGTATTGGATACTTGGGGATAATTTTGAAATACTCGTATACACTTGTAAAACGTCGATATTATCAGATATTATATTATTATCAATTATTAGTTATTATCAGTGTGAATCGAACTTTTATAGGAAATGTAAACGGCAAATCGACGATTCTATTGCAATAAATTTAAGCATGATAATTTTCAAAAAAAGGTCAAATCCAAATATCTTTATTTCATAGGTAACAATTAGATTTGAAACCGTCAAATTGATTTCACACTACTACTGATTCATAACTCTCAGAGAAAAATAGGTAAGAAACTAGGGCTTGCTCTTTTTCGTTAGCCATTACATGCCATACAATATTTATTTCAAACATCATAGAAACAAAGAAGAGCTAAACGGGTCACTTCCGACTTTTGTCATCACAGTATGTAGTACATAGAAAATATATAAATAACCTTTAGTATAAAGTTTTTGTTTCGCTATAGCTTTTAAACCTCATAGATGACAAATTTCTAATATTAATAGCTACTTTATTTTAGGCCCTCAAATGAATTTATAACTTTGTGAAGACAATTGTCAAGAACAGCCAGTTTGTATTAATATTGTCTATCACTATTTTTTTATGAAAAAATTAATATTTTTAACATAAAATTCATTTTCATTGATGTAATGCGACGCTATTGCAAGAATGTTAAATTTTTTTAAAGTTATCTCTCTACACTTGAAGTGTGTAGATAGGTTCTACAGTATTGTCTTTATATAATAAGATATTTACGCTTGTTTAGATACGTATTTGTTTATGAATTTGAATTGTGAAAAAACTTAAACACTAATTTGTTTTCTTTTATAATAATGAGCAATTAATATAATTGAATATCACATATTATTTTTTAAGTATTGGTTCGGATACGTTTGTCGTTACAAATAAGCAACATTCGCACCAAATATCTGTCATTTAACTCATGTGAAGGCAGTGTAATTCAGCGAAAATAAGTAACTCAAATTTCGTATATTCAAAACACGGCGGATTTGTGGTAAGCCAGTTTGGATGTACTCTGCAAACGAGATGCCGTAGGGAATTTCTTTAGGCGTTTGGCTCCTCAGGGCGCCTTCAAATTAGACGCTTGCAGAAGTGCTGCAGTGGGGCATTGTGGCTCTCAAGCGCGCCGCTACTAATTTTCATACAATATTTAGTGAACTAAAAATTACTGAAGTGCTACGGGCGCATCTAATTTGAAGGCCCCCGCCCTTAGGGTGAGAAATATTTTAATATTATGATAGATAATCGTTCTTTGGTCGCTTTTTATCTACAATTGTTACTTGTTATTGTTTTTTCGCGTGTACCTCTTAGTTATAGTATTGTTTGCACATAATGAATTCACGCAAGTGTTGGATTGTTTATGAAAACAACTAATAAAATTTTAATACGTAATGATTTTTTCTAGTCATAATTTTATGTGTTATTTTTTACATTATATTGTAAAATTGTTGCTAATAATTAAAACGCGTCATTACTTAAATATTTTTTTTATTATGTACTCATTTTGTTACTGACGTGATGATTACTAAAATAAACTATCACATTTTTTACTGACTGATCCTGCTTTTTTACATGTTAGTTGCTTCAGTTATAATATTTTCTGCAGCAAATAACGGTGTACTTCAAGGAAATCGCTTTATGTAGTAATATATTGCATTGGAATCCTTGTGTATGTATAAATAAAACAAAAATTTTAGATAATACGTCCGTAACTGTATTTCTGTAAACTATTTACAAAAGAAAATAAATACCGATAGTATTAAATTCACTTGCAGTAAATGCAAGACGAGCTGGGGATCTCACAATCGGAATGCACAATCGCAAAACATTCAGAAATAAATGTGCTACAAATAAATATTATAGATATCACATTCAAAAAACTATAAAACCGGTTAATTACATTTTACATTCGTCAAGTCTTACTTGGATGATACGCTTATGGATTGATTGAATAGACTAGGACTATGGATGGGTCGGAGAAGTACCGCGTGAGGTGACATTAAATTACTTATAAATTACCCAAATATCTCCTCATTCAGATTCATACAAGATTCCTTACATTCCGTGACAAGCCTAGCCTAAGTGCCCCTATGGGACACCGTCATATTTGTTTAGGTCAAATTAGAAGTTGATAGCTTTGCCAAAGTACGCCATAAGGTTTGCTTCGCGAAGAGCTTCAGCGCAAGTCTGAAATTAAAACAAAATTATTTATTTACTTTTTTTATGTACCAAGTGATTTTACCTGGTGGTAAGTGACACGCCTGTCCATAGCAGTTGCAGTGCCACTCAGAGCTTTAAATCGGAGATCTGGGGGCACTGCCACTGTACCCGTCACCCTGAGGCATAAGGTGACAAGTTCAATGTGCCTGTAATTTCACCAACACCCTTACCCTTCAGAACCGGAACACAGTAATGCTCACATTACTGCTTGGCGGCAGAAATAGGTATGGTGGCAGTACTTCCTTGGACGAACTCTTTCACAAGGAGCTCTACTAGTACTAAACTATTAATTATTACAAAAACCAAACAGTACAATATTGCTTTTAACCCACGACGCGACTACTGACGGGATTTAATTTATTCTTGTGTTTTGTGTGGAAGGTTAGATTTCTATAAAGTATATGAATTGGGGGTTTTTTACGTGAGAAATAGCGAAAGGCATGATATACACACACTAGCAGATTTAACGAAATACTAGAAAAATCTCAAAAATAATGCAAGTTGTTTTCAAAAATCTGGTCGGTTATTGTATTTGTATTATCTTGTATTTTACGTCTAATTAAAAAAAAGAATCGATTTCATTAATTTGTTTTGATTTTCTACTAATACAAGTTTGTCGAGTGGTTAGAGGTTGATTTTGCGTTCTTTTAAATTTCGAAAAGTTTAGTTGAAAAACTGTTTTATATATACATATTTATTTTATTTAATATCATAATGTTTTAACTATTATTTTTTTTTTTGTGATAATACTTTACTAGTTTGTTGTTACTATTACATATACAACGATCGTACAAACGAAAACGAAAAAGTCCAGCCAGAATGAAGGAATTGTTCTGTGCTTTTTTAATATATTATAAATATATTAAAGTTTGACTTATCTAAAAGTTAAACTGTTTTTAAATTGCAATTTTTAAATTTTTATCTGTGTAAGCTTTGTTAAATCTAAAAAATGCATTTTGAATTGAATTTTTTTCTGTAAAGGTTGAGTAAGGCTGTACAAGTGTCTCCTTATCATATATTTTCACTTTTTTGTTCCGTTGAATGTACCGGTGCGTGTATATAACATAAACCCTGATAGAAAAGAACTATGTATACTCACGGGATGCGCGTGGCACACCCTCGCTACGTCCTCTGCGGCGGCGCCGTACTCTTGCGCCAGTACAGCTTCGTTGATCAGCTCGCCACCACCCTGTAGCATAGATATTAGATTCACGTCAAGCAAAAAAGTTTCATTACGATAATAAAGTAAATCTACTTGCGATACTAATTATTATCTGATGAAATTGGAGATTCTTCATAAATGATTTTATGAAGTTTGGCAACTGCTGTACATTACCTTTAAATAATATAATTTGGGAGGGCCACTGTCGTTCCCTAAAAACAAGTAGATCATAACAAAGTATCAAAAAATCGTTGAACTGTGATAAAACCTAGTTAAAATTAAAATACCTCTAGTCAAGTGCTTAATTTTAAGCCGTTAATGAACAACGATTACTTTCGTGACAAATTTCCGATTGACCGCTCTTTCGTATGTGGAATCAAAATTATTTCGACACCTTCAGAACAAAAGAATGTTGTAAAGGAATGTGTATTGTATAGGAATTATATTCCGTCGTTTCATTCTTCAGATATGATATAATAGCCAAATAGATGTTTAGAGCAGAAAGTTTTGAAATAAAGCACATCAATTACTACTTATGATTAACTTTCACAGCGTGTTATGGAAATTCATTCGAAGATACGACCATCCTCTCACCCTGCTGCTCATAATGATAAAGTTTTGTAAAGACATAACTACAAAATGACCATAGATATGATGGCTGACTAGGGATGGGGTAATCGTTTGGAAACTCTAAAAACTGTGCTAATGTTATCTAGTAACCAGGGTGTACTGCATGGTAAGTAGTATCTTCGAATGAAGCGATTCATATTATATCAATCGAACTTCACTTAGGTAAGTTCGTTTGATACGTGGGGCGCACTATAAGTTTCCGGAATGAATAAGAAAAAAATACTACCAATGGTCAGAAATGAACTTATTGTTTCTCAAAATATCGAATGAACCAATTTTGAAAACATTTATGCCACTCCTCCATGACAATTTCTGAAACATATTTTCATACTCTTCGACAGCTTATTCAGGTGATGAAAATCGTTGACCGCATAACTGGTTCTTAATTTTTGGGCATAAATAAAAGTCACAAGGTGCCAGGTCGGGACTGTACGCGTGATGGCTCATATGGATGGGTCAACGTTGTTCACCTTCAAAAATTCATTTGTCTGTCTGACCGTGTGAGAACTAGCATTATTGTGGTGCAAGATGATACGGCGTTTACGGTTATTTTTACGGAGTTTGTCAATAACTTCCGGCAAACAAATGGTCGTCTACCAATCACTATTTACGGCACAACGATTCTCCAAAGCAACAGTAGCCACGTGTCCAGTTTTATTAAAAAAGTAGCAATCATCCGCTTAGAGGCACTTTGCACGCGCGCCGCTTTGGTTGGTTTCGACTCATCTCGAAAGACCGTTGCTGCGTACGCTGTTTTGTTTTGGGCTCGTAACTATAAATCCATGTTTCGTCACCTGTTACTATGTCCCACACCAAATTTGGCGCCCCTTCGTTGAATCTGGTAAGCATGGCATTGCATCAAGTGACGCTGGTATATATGTCATTGTACAACTACCGACGAAAGCCAGTAATAAACTAGCTACGCAGTAGTGCAGTCGTTTCATTGCTACCTATCGACACTCCATCTGGCGACAAGGACGGATTTTACCCACAATTTTTTTTTGTGAGCAAGATGGACAAAGTTATTGGAAATATTGGAGTTTTTCGATCATGTGTGCAAGAATGGGACGTTTTTTACGGGCGATTAACACAGTTTATTAAGTTAAACAGTATTTCGAACGATAGTGCAAGTGCGGTATTATTAACTCATTTGTCGGATGAGTCTTACCGCCTGGTTCGGAATGTTGTGCACCCAGATAAACTAGAAGCTAAATCATACGCTCAGCTAGTTCAAGCACTCAACCAGCATTTTACTCCGAAACGGTCAACCTTCGCAGACAGAGCCAAGTTTTTTGAAGCCACGAAATCAGTGACGGAAAGTAGTCAAGACTGGGCAGCTCGACTACGCGGGCTAGCTATTAATTGTGATTTCGGAACGGAACTGGACGTACTTCTTCGAGATCGTTTCGTACTCGGTTTCAACTTGGGAACAGAACGAGACCGGCTATTCGAGAATGATTGTAACACATTGACGCTCGCGAAAGCTATTGAAGTGGCGCAGCAAGCGGCGTGCGCCAGGCAGGCCCGCACGCCGGTCGTCAAAGAGGAGCCCGTGTACCGCACCGCAGCGCGTGCTGAGCGCCCCCGCCGGGGCGACGGCGCCGGAGCTACGCGATGCTCAGTGTGTGGATTAAACAATCATGATGTGACAAGATGCAGGTTTAAAAACTACAAGTGTCAGAGTTGTGGACAAAAAGGTCACCTTAAAAAAGTGTGCAGTGGTAATAAAGCTAAGTTACATAATATCGGTACGGAAGCAGTGGAATCTCAGGAATGTGAGGATTGTAAGGAGTGTCAAATGTTTAATATGAGGTACGTAAATAGTAAACCTTTCAGGCTGTCGGTCGATGTGAGTGGAGTTCAGATGAATATGGAGTTGGACACTGGTTCTGGTTGTTCAGTCATATCCGAGAATTTATATATTCAACAATTTTGTTCCTTAAAATTGTATAAAGACAATCTAAAAATGTGTTTTTATACTGGCCATCAAGTCACGCCCCTTGGTTATTTTCTTGCTGAAGTTTTTTATGAAAATAAAACGGAAGTTATACGATTTTATGTTATAGCTAATGGGGGACCCCCCTCTTAGGGCGTAATTTCATGTCAAAATTTAAATTGCATTTGACCACCGAAATGCTGTGAGCATTCAAAGTGTCGATGTCGATAGTGTCAAAGAGATACGAGACCTATTAAATCAATATCCAGCCGTTTGGAAAGGCGAGTTGGGTTGTTTTACTAAATACGACGTTGAATTGCAGTTAAAGGATGATGCTAAACCTAAGTTTTTTAAGCCACGCCCAGTACCTTTTGCCTTGAAAGATAAGGTGAGCGCTGAATTAGACAGATTAGTAACATTAGGTATTTTAGTGTCGGTTAACCATTCAGATTACGCCACCCCGATAGTACCAGTGTTGAAGGAGAATGGAAAATTGAAAATCGCTGGTGACTTTTCCTGCACGCTTAATAAGGATCTTAAAATAGACAAATACCCACTGCCTAGAATAGAGGAGGTTTTTTCAAAATTATGAGGGGGGCTGCAATATACGAAAATTGATTTAAGCAACGCATACAACCAATTTAGGTTAACTAAATCTTCACAAAGACTTACTACAATCAACACTCATAAAGGTCTCTTTTCGTATACTCGTTTAGTCTATGGATTGGCCAATGCACCTGCTATTTTCCAAAGGGCTATGGAAACGTTACTGTCAGGGTTAGACGGAGTGAGTATATGGTTAGATGACGTTTGCATCACAGGTCCGACGAAAGAAATTCACTTGACGAGGTTACAAGAGGTGTTAAGAAGGTTGAATGAGTCAGGGTTACGGTTGCAAAAGGACAAGTGCGTATTTTTCCAAAACCACGTTACATACTTAGGTTACGTTATTGATAGGAGCGGACTAAGAACTTGTCCAAAAAAGGTAGATGCTATAATTAAAGCGCCGGCGCCTGAAAATATTTTAGGGATAAAAAGGTTTCTAGGCGTAGTAAATTATTATAGAAATTTTGTGCCTAACGCCTCATCTATGCTAAGTCCTCTACACGAGTTATTGCGTGGTGGCGTTGAATGGAAGTGGGGTGAGCGGCAGCAGGCGGCATTCGATAACATTAAGCGCGAACTAGCCAGCGAGCGTGTGCTGGCGCACTTCGACGCGGCAGCGCCGCTCACGCTGGCTGTGGACGCGGGCCCGGGAGGTCTTGGCGCTGTGCTCGCCACTCGTCGCTATCGGCGAGCGAGCGAAATTATAGCCAGATTCAAAAAGAGGCTACGGCAATAATTTTCGGCGTTAAACATTTTCACCAATACCTATATGGTAGGCAAAAACCATTTGTATTGAAAACCGATCACAGGCCGTTAATATCTATATTTGGCAAAAATAATGGAATTTCCGTAACCGCCGCGTTGCGTTTGCAGCGATATGCAGTTTTATTGTCAGCTTATAACTATACAGTACAATATGTAAGTGGACAAAATAATCAAGTCGCAGATTATTTCTCCCGCGCTCCGTTACAACAATCTATTAATGATGAGTTAGAACAGGAGGGAGATAGGTCATTCATGTTTTTAGATTCACGTGTAGAACCGGTTTCATTTTCTAGAATAAGGGAGGAGAAGAATCGCGACAACGTGTTATGCACGGTTATTAAATATATGACACACGGTTGGCCAAGGAAAATAGCTTGCAAGTCCATATTACCTTATTTTCAGTGCAAGACTGATTTAGAAATGGTTGACGATTGTCTGTTGCGCGGTCATAGAATAGTGATTCCATTTATTTTCCGTGAAAACATGCTAAGAGAATTACATTCGTCGCATTTTGGTATCGTCAAAACAAAAAGTGCGGCACGTAGTAGAATGTGGTGGCCCGGTATAGACGGCGACATCGAGCACTGGGTGGGTGCATGCAGCGCCTGCGCGGCCACGCGCCCAGCATCGCCGCGCGCGCCTCCCGCGCCGTGGGCGCGCCCACTCATTCCGTGGCACCGCATACATATTGATTATATGACGTTTGAGCAAAAGGATTACTTGATCATAGTAGATGCTTTTTCCAAATGGCTGGATTGTATTTATATGGACCGAGGCACTTCGACCTCTGCCCTGATAGTGAAACTTAAATCAGTTTTTTCTGTGTTTGGTTTGCCGAAGGTATTAATATCAGATAATGATGTCAAGATAAACTCGTTCGAATTTAAAACGTTTTGTAAAGCAAATGGCATTGATTACTTAACCTCGCCTATATATCACCCGTGCAGCAATGGTCAAGCAGAAAACTCTGTCAAAACCTGCAAGAAAATGCTAAAATGTTTATTTTCAAGTATTAATGGTAATCATAACTCCTTACAGGAAAAGTTGCTGGGTTTTCTGTTTGATTACAGAAATACTGTACATTGTGCCACGGGTCAAACGCCGGCTCAACTGATGATGGGTAGAAATTTGCGTTCGAAATTGGATTTGATTCTTCCACAAAGTAAGGGTTGTCTAGACTTAATTGAAAAAGGAACAAAATTAAAACAAAGTCAATGTTTCCGAGTCGGGGAAACTGTGTGGGCCAGGTGGTTTACACACAGGAAAATGTATTGGAAAGTTGGATTAATAATTAGTGTTAAGGGTAATCGAATGTTTGAAATTCTATTTAAAGATGTCAATGAAAAATGTAAGAGGCATGTCGATCAAATTGGAAAGTATACTGGTCAGAGCCCAAGTTCAGTATGTTGTAGTGAATCTTTACAAGGTGCCTCCGATACGCAACCGCTCATTCCTATTACAGATCAGTCTATACAAGCGTCGCAGCGGGAGTGTTGTTCCGCAGACGTAACCCCTGCGTATTCTCCACCTTCGTCAGTTGCCACTGAGGAAAATGAAGCAGTGGTAACCACGGAAGGCGAATATAATAATAAAAACGAAAATATAGAAGGAACAGAAGCGGAAATTGAGGAATGGGTGGAAGCTAGTGACGTAACAGAGGCTGGAGATACTGTGCAGACCGAAGGTCATGTGTCCGACCAAGTTACTTCCGAGTTAGGCGATGAAGTTAGTAGCAATTCAGTAGTTGAGCCGGTGGGTCGTTCTAGAAGACTTAAGACAAGATTTAATTATAAGCCGTATTTTTAATTATGAAAATGTTATATTTCGATTGCTTAGGTATATTGTATGGTATATTGTTATATATTGTATATTGTTGGCAGGTTTCTAAAGTAATGCGGGAGGGATGGTATATATGTCATTGTACAACTACCGACGAAAGCCAGTAATAAACTAGCTACGCAGTAGTGCAGTCATTTCATTGCTACCTATCGACACTCCAGACGCGATCCGTTTTTTGAGCCTCATTCAAACTGTGTGGGATCCACCGACAGCATGGCTTTTTCACACCCAAATTTGTGTAGTATTGATTGTATTTGACTCATGCCTATGCCTAAAGATGCCCGAATCTCATGGTATGTCACATGCCTGTCTGTTTTGATCATACGGCGCACAGCATCGATGTTTTAGATGTTCACAGTAGTGGACGGGCGACCATCACGAAATTCGTCACTGTGATTCTACACGACCGCGTTTGAATTCTGCAAACCAGCTATAAATAGTCGTCTTCCACGGTGCTTCATCGCCAAAAGCAGTTTGAAGATGAGCGAAGCTCCGCTGAGCTGTTACATTACAGTTAAAGTCGTAGAAAATCATACTACGAAAATTTTTACTCTTCAGTTTATTTTCAATGAAATCCATGGTGATGTAGACAACCAATATCTAAAATGACGCCACAAGTGACAGTCAGATGAAACAAACTGTATTCTACAGCCTAAGAGTTCCGTTTTCAAATGTTCAAATTACTTTTTAAATATTGTTTATGTAAGTGGCCAGTTCCGGAAACTTATAGTGCGCCCTATGTAACATATATTATAAAGCGTTCTACGATGGTACTCACAGGGCCAATGATGTGTGTGCCGAGGATGACGTCTGTGGCTTTGTCTGCGAGCACTTTGACGAAGCCGTCGGGCTCGCCGTTCGTTTTCGCTCTGGAGTTGGCTATGAACGGGAACTTGCCTACTTTATATGGTCTGTTCTGTAAGAAATACATATGAAAATACGCGTTACAAACTGCTTTAGACAGTAATTATATAATTTTAAACTTCAATTTAACAACTGACAGAAAGGTATCACTTATTTAAATAATAAATACAAAATAATGAAACCTCTTTTTTTAGATCTTCTTCACTTTTGCCGACCCAGCCAACCTCGGGAGTGGTGTAGATTACAGATGGAATAGCGTCGTAATTGAAGTGAGTGGGCATTCCCTGGAATTTATCCTAATATTAGTCTACTTAAAATTATTAATGTTTAGGACTGAATAGAAAGATTCCGAACCACACCTGGTGTAGTAGACTTTAAAGGTAATAAGAATTTTGATGTGAAACGTATTAGCGTTTCTACTTAAAGGTCCAAAGGAAACTTGTCCGAATTTATCGAGAAAACATGCACCTCTAAGAGCGATTGCGATTGCAAACGGCGACTTTTAGCAGCTACGCAAACGCGTGACGGCATCGATATAAACGCGCAATTGCATTGCTACACTTGCGATTTATAGGCGATTGCATCAATACAATCGCGCGTTAGCATCGATGCAGTCGCGCGTTAGCATCGATGCAGTCGCGCGTTTGCATCGATGCAGTCGCGCGTTTGCATCGATGCAATCGTGTATAAATCGCAAGTGTAGCGATGCAATCGTGTGTATTACGAACGAATGTATCATATCATCATGTTTGCATAACTGCTAAATGTCACCGCGTGTAACCCACTCATAGAGTGGTTACATTCGGCGATTTTTAGCAGCACATTTGCAGTCGCTAATCGTCTACCTTTATCGTGATGCGAGCGATTTACAAACACGATGCAAATGCATTGCCAACTAGCGATGCGCGATTGCATTAGATTTCGATATTAGACTCGTTGGTAATTACTAATTCTGTCATTCGAATGACAAATTAGTAACTTACTAACTTGCGTATTCGAATGTCTGAGTGATCATTCATTACTAATCCATAGATTCCATAAAGCATTTCTGCCTAGCCCTCGGGGACAGGGATATTTTGATATAGATATGGTGAATGGTTCCGAGTAATTGCGACATAATAATCATTCGACTCGTGTATCCGACGGAATGGCAGGAGGGGCATTCGGTATTGGTAATCATTCGACTCGATTGTGCTTGGATTCGATTTAAAAGAAACATTTGCCCATTTGAATGATTATTTAGTAACATTCAAAGTCGCGCATCGCTATTGCGAAAGTTTTTAATGGTTCAACATAAGCGACTACATCGATGCAGTCGCGCGTTTGTAACGATGCAACCGCCTATAAATCGCTAGTGTCACGATGCAAACGCGCGTTTGTGTATCGCTGCTAAAAGTAGCAGTATGTAAGCGCACTAAGGTTCAAAAGTTCTTCGAAGATATATAAACTTCCCCAAGATGATTTCGGCTAGCGCGTTGTAGTACAACCTTTCAGCTATAGGTTCTAATCTCTCGATGCGAGCGATTCATGCCCACGTACAACTCTCAGGTATATCTAATAAAGAGTATTGTGTACCAGCAACCTGCATTAGCTTCTCTTGGATATGGGCAATTGAATTTGAATTAGAGACGTTATTATAATGGTTCTGAATTATTGTATGAATAAAACATTCTATAATACAAATTTATAATTACAATAGCCCGCAGTAAACTTCTAACTCGCATTGGGCCAGGCTGGTGGTCTATGGCCTAAGCCCTCTCTTCAGAGGAGACCCGTGCCCTGCAGTGAGACGTATAATGGGTTGATGGTGTTGTTGTTGTTGAAAGCATATGTAAACCTAACCCCTGACTCTGCATTTTGTTATTTAAAACAATAATAAGTCACCTTTATTCCTTCGACGCATACAATGCCTTCGTCCTCAGCTTTGTGAGCCAACATGGGGCCGTGGATTACGTCACCGATTGCGTAGATACTGAAAGTGACAATATTGACTTTAATACGTATGTATTAATAACAGGAGCGTCAATAACAAACAATCTGGAGCTAATTTTTGCAATGAATTAATATGAATATTTATTAACGAGCGGTACGTAACAGCATAAAATTTTTATTATATTATTATTATTTTTTTTCAGACTGACTGAAAAATACATGTTAACCGCTTTCTTAATCTTTGAACAGCAAGTTTGTTTATTTTTGTGGATTTCCCATATCTGTGTATGTGCCGTTTATAGTATTTTGTATGGATTGCGTGGTAGGGAATAAAAAAGTAACGAGAAAGGTTACTCTCCGCGTCTCCCTAGCTTTAGATACTTCACCGGGCCCCTCATATGAACGGTCACATTGACGGAATGGCAACAAGGCTGCCAGTGAGGCGTCCGCTGATCCTCAGCGGCTTTGATATATGAATAGTTTTAATTTTCTTCTTAAGAATTTATACGTTACCCACTATTTATGGTGGTCGTGAATTAATATACAATGTGTTGATTTGCATTCTCGTCATATTTACAGAGGTCATTCTGTATCCGAAAGTAAACCCAAATCTCTAAAAAAAACCCTTCGTAAATTCCAATTTTTTATTTAATTGCGGTAAACAAATTTGATTCAAAGGTCATTGACTTGCACGGCACTTGCAAACATTTTGAACAATGACCTTAAATGCGCAGAAAGAAACGCATTTTAGATCCATTTAGTGGTGGGGTGCGGGTAGCGACGGCGGGAGTGTCGTATTGAGCGCGCGATTGGTAGATCAGTCGATCTTGCTTCCCGTACTGCGTTTACGTCACGCTGACATCCCGCATAGGTTCTATTCCAGTGTCACGAAATGCCACGTGGTTTGGTATGTAAACAAGAGTTAGTAGTGCAAAAGAACGAGTTAGTAGTACAAGTGCGTATCTATTCTTATGGCATGATGATAAACGTTTAGTTTACGCGGAGGATAAGAGTGTCGAAGTTTCTGCTTTCAAAGTTGTGAAGTCTAATGTTGAAACGAAACTCACGTGGGAATCTCTGCATAGCTGATTGTGGCTCCGGTACGGAGTCAGCTACCAGCTGTGGAGCTAGGTACTTCTAGCAATACTTTCATGTGACCTACAGTTGGTAAGTACCAAATCTAAGTTACAAAATTTTTCAGTCAACTTGTCTAAATAATATAAATAAATATTAAATTATAACAATACTAGTACATACTTTGATTTAAACTTTCACGATTTTCACACATTATTTTATTTTTAATTCGGGACTTAATCACGTACAAAACATATTTTATTTACCTCGACGTTTCGGGCATATTGCAACGTCCATGGTCTCGAAGGGACTGAAGAGGCGGGCACTTGATCTTCATTATTTATATGTGCACTAGAGTTCTCAATAGACCCACACACAACACTCACTTGTCGGGCGATATTGATGTCGTTTACATTTGCTGATAACTGGATCCCATGACAATGAAAGCTTAAAACCGTCTTCTCGGTTGAAATTACGGAGTTTTTTTAATTTCAATAGCTTCACGTACGATTCTACTATAGTGATGACGTTCTGTAGAAAGGATCTTGGGATTATCAAGCTCAATCCAGTGGTTTGGTCCTGGGGGTCTACACTCGATCTCCGTCCGAAACAATTACTGTCCAATAAGTAATATTCGACAAAATTAAAAGACAAGTATCAAGTATGAAGCTTCATTCGCATCACGCGTCTTTTCATTTGGTCAAGTATTGCCTATTTGGCAGTAATTGTTTCGGACGGATGTCGGACGGAGATCGAGAGTAGACCCCCTGATTCCAGCAAATGCTCGGCTATTGCAGAGACTTATCGAGCTGACGGTTCTTAACGTATCGTCATTCATTCCCTTCGATCACTGAGGTTGCGATATGTCCGAAACGTCGAGGTAAATAAAATATGTTTTATACGTGATTAAATCCCGAATTAAAAATCAAATAATACTAGTACATAATCATAATTTAAAAAATTGGTAAATAAGATTACGTATCTCTCGGTGAAGCAGGTGGCGGGGTCTGCCCTTGCGTGGTGCATATGAGTTGAGACAATTTTGCAAAACTTTACTAGATACAATTAGCCAAGATATTGAACAGAATATTTTTTTAAATATGTTTAGATGATTTAGCATTATTTCTATTATTAATTTCTTAAATATGGCGAGAATGCAAATCAACACACTGTCTTTAGAACAGAATATAACATTATAAGTGCTTTTAAATTATTTTGACTAACAAATACAAATGAACCTTTATTCTTATTCAACCTTAAAACTAAGTTCAAACTCATGGGAGATTACATGGGAGATTATTATTGCCCGTGTCACTACTAGGCCTGTCGGTAGTTACACGGGAGATTATTATTGGCCGTGCAACTACTAGTAGTTCTGCTGGTAGTTCCACGGGCAACAAAGGATAAATAACATAACCTCACTCTGGGAAATATCGGAATATTACTACCTCAACATGTCTATATTGTTCTGCTATACACCATCTAATGATAAAAACTGTCCCGAATTTTCACGGAAAAAAATCAAAAGTTAGTAATGTCTTAAGAGATCATATATTTTTCAGCTGCCCTACCAGAACATTTCCTATGTATGATAGTCTTCCAGCTTCTATTCCTGGTACCGTAAATTTCAAGTTTCTATTATCGCTTTTACAAATATAAATAATATAACCGATATTTGTATTAACCAACTTGTATCATAAAACTTGTGTATTTAAATATATCTAATAGTGTTTTGGTGTACCGTGTACTTTTGTATTGTTATAGAAATCAGAATAGACTAAAGAGCAGGGTTAAGTAGCTAAACGTGACGGTTGACTAGGAATTGGTAGAATTTTTCAATAATAATAATAAATAATTATGAATATTTCAAACAATAATACGCACCCAGGTATAGAAGTGGCAAACTTATCGTTGACAGGCACGCGGCCCTTGTCATCCAACGCGAGACCCACTTTTTGATGGCCCAAGTCCTTGGTGTACGGCCGGCGACCGATTGAGATCAATACTACATCTGCGTCAATCTGAAAAACATTATCACCTTCAGAGCTGATAACTCTAATTTTACTGAAAGTGTTTATAGGTGACAAGTTAAAAGTGAAGCGTTGTTATGGTGCAGAATTCAAAAGAACTGATTTTTTCTGCTAAGAATTCCAGCATATCAACAGTCTATTTCAAACCTTAAATAAACAGACTTCATTCCTTTATATGCTAAACTTCAAGTATAGTAGATTTTTGCAAAAACTACTTTATTATAATAGCACGTAGATCTATACCGGCACCTATACCTAAGCCATTGTTATCTCTAATTAACGAGATCATTTTACGTAAGCTATTCCAATTCACGTACTCTACAATCTGATGTTACTACGATCATTATTACGATCAATAAATTAATCTGTCTAATTGAACTAGAGATTCAGAGTTAATGTACCAGGCCATGGCTAAGAAATAGCATTAGGTTGTTTTTTTCCTTTAGCGTTGCCATGAATTGTAACCAAATATAATTATCAAATTATTCTACCCGTCATACTATATTTTTTAACTAGTATGTTGATTTAACCATATTATAAAGAGTTTGCATGTCACTGCCACTCGCGTTTCGAAAATTGTTAAATCGTATTTAATGATTTTTTCATAATATCAAGTGACGAGACGAACAAGTCGTGTGCCTGATGGTAAGCAGCACGCCTGTCCATAACAGTTGCAGTACCACTCAAAGCTTTAAATCGCAAAGATATGAGAAGCACTGTCACTGCGCCCGTTACCGTGAGACATAAGTTGACGATTCCCATGTGCCAGTAATTTCACCACCACCCTTACCCTTCAAAACCGGAACTTAGTAACGCTGTCATTACTGCTTGGCGGCAGAAATAGATAAGGTGGCAGTAGTACCCTGGACGAACTCTTTCACAAGGAGCTCTACTACTACTAAAAATGATTTATCTTGTGGTATCTGTACATGATAGACTCACGTTAACACCTTGTTACTTAAGAGCGCTAAGTTGCGGACAAATCTATTTCGTATTTTTCTATAAGTGGCTGTCGCTAGTGGTCAGTGTTCGGCTAATCTAAAGTTGAGATATACAAAAAGAAGTTTGCTTAAGTTTAAGCAAGAAATGAATTTAAACTTTGAGTCTACTTATCAAATTCTTGCTTAAACTTAGACAAAGTTCGTTTCATAAATCTCAGCCTTATGACGTGTTCTACGAAAACATACCATTAGTTGCTTGCAAATTTTGAAATTTAAATGTTAATTGTAGTAAGCTTGAATGTTTTAGTGAACGAACCGGTTTAGTGAGTGACTCTGTGTTGTGCAACATGCAATATCGAACATGATACACATGACAGATGTAAGATTTGACGTAACAACTTGAGAGTAAATCCGTGTTGTGGAAAATGGTCGATAATTATTAGTGTTAGAGATCAATCGGATACCGGTTATTCGGTGTGCGCCGAGGCCGGATATCCGGCCGCCGATTTCTGACCCACAGCCGTAAACAGTTTACAGCGCGCATCGCCGTGACTGATTGATTAGTGAATGATTGCACTTTGACATAAAAAAAAACTTATACGTTTCATTATTGTTTGGTACACATTGTATGTGAAGACAGTTTAAATCGATTGTAATCGCGATCCTTTCATTTGGTTGTCTGGCAATAACAAGTAGTACTTAAAATTTAACAAAGTTTGCAAGAGTTAATAGTGAAAAACAATCCTTTGAAGCTGGTCTTGTTTATGAAAATAAAAAGAAACAACTTTTACCACTTAATGCAGAAAAACTGGTCTTCCACCATAATTTGCCTTTATTGAATTTTGAGTACTAAATTTACAGACAGCATTATCTAACTTCATAGTTCTTTCAGAGTTACAAGTAATAAACAGATTGTCCATGATCCCGTAGTTGATTTTTATCCTATTACTATCATCTTTACTCAATAAATCAGTTTATTTGGCGTACTGATCATGAATTTTCCTCAGTTTTAAATATCCGGTATCCGGCCGGATATCGTTCTACTATTCGGCTTATATTTACTATCCGGCCGGGTACGGGATAGTTACCGGATATCCGTTTCATCTCTAATTAGCATATACTCGATGTGATTAGCTGACAACATACATCGAAAATGACATTGACCCAAACCTAGTAACCGTCATTAAAGAAGTAATAATGGGATATGATTCTTATATCAATAACGCACACACACACACTGAACATCGCTCCGCACTAAGGAAACCCTGTGTCGCGGGTGCCATGGACACACACATAGACAACCACAAATTACACCCAAACTTACGAGATAAATAAATGTAGATCATACAAATATTTCTCCCGGCCCGGGAATCGAACCTGGGACCTCTGCGTGGCAGTCCGGCATCGTAACCGTTCCGCCACGGAGGCAGTTAATCAATCAATAATAGGATACTGTACATATATTACAATTTTATCAAAAATTGTCCTGATTTAATATTTCTATAGTGATGTTCACTTTTACTGTTGAGATCAATAGTGAGCTGTACAAATTATAACAGATTCTACTCGCAACAGCAGCGCGGTGGCGTGGTGACGGAAACTAAACAGAATACTCAAAAAGTATAGCAGCGTGGTGAGCAAATCTGGCTCATTTAGGCACAGAATTAGCTGGCAAGTCTATGAACGATAAATTTAACCAGTAATTTTAAACAGATTGGTACCAGCTGTAGGCATTATTCTGTTATATTTAATTACAGCCACTGTGGTGAATAATCTATTTTCTTATCTTAGTTAAAAAATTTACATTTTCCTTTGCGCCGCCCTTAGCTGGCTCCACTTCAACTTTGACGCCGCCTCCTTCTTTCTTGACACTGGTCACTTTGGTGCCTAGTTTGAATTTCATTCCTTGTTTGGCAAGTATTTTCTGCAGAGTCTTTGCTACTTCGCCATCGATACCGATACCTGTAATAAATATTATTAACAATTTTTCTTTCATTTTTCAGATTATGAACAGTAAAGGTGGTTTTCTACCGGCGAGGTGCGACAAGGATTGAATTTTGTATGACAAAATTTTAATTCTCTCCTAGCCCATCTTCGGTGGGAATTGTCTTCAGGATTGACGTAACACGAGGCGAGAATTGAAATATTTTTTGATGTAATATTGAACCGTATTGCTGTCTACATAGAGTATTATACTCTTTAACGGAAACATGCAACGACGGAACCGTGAGATCGCGATGGCTGGCACGATCCATTATTGGCAATTTTTGATAGAAATAGGCCAGCGAGATTTCAATTCTCATCCCTCCTCGTCTCGCCTTGCCGGTGCAAAACCACCTTAACACCCTATTTATCTTGGTGAGTTCAGTTCCAAAGCAACTAAATCATCGACTCTATTTCCAAATATATAATTGTAATGTGGTTGTGTACTTGTTTCTGATATAGTTCGAAATAGATTGTGCTGTATGGGAGTGTTGAATTAATTAGACAATGAAAATAAATTTGCTCCTGCATATTCGTCTTGTAAATTTACCAAGCATGGTGGATTATGGCGTATATCTTTTTATACGTATGTTACCTCCAATGGATTCAAGGAACTCAATGGCAATGACTTCAGCGCCGAGCCTCTGGTAGACAGAGCCAAGCTCGAGACCGATGACGCCCGCGCCTATCACCAACATCTTTTTGGGTATCTTCTTGAGCGACAGTGCGCCAGTCGAGTCCACTATCGCCTCTTGATCGATCTGAATATTACAACATTGTGCATTGGTATATTTATAATGATAAATACTTTCTCTATTATGGGGACAAAAACTACGCAGACGTTCCTTCAATATTCATAACAACAAAAAAAGATTTTCGGCGAATGGCGCTTTTAGCGAATTACACTACATATTTTTTATTATAAAAACAATTTATTACTGGTAAATGAAGAATCGCTCTTAAATAAAATATATGCGAAAATATACCGTAACACCCGGGAACGGCGTCACTTCAGACCCGGTAGCGATGAGTATATTCTTCGTATTTACAGTTTCCACTCCTTGCTCACCTTTCACCTCTACCTTGTTGGGAGCTGCAATCGTTCCTACGCCTCGAAGAAGTTTCACCTGCAAACATGAAGTGATACATGGCAGAATTGTAAGCGATAATTTTTAACTACCTTAAAAAGAACATAATTTAATCTTCGATCTCGGGGTGTACTCCCATTCTCTGTCCATAACAATTACTGTCAAATAAGCACGGACTTGTATATTAAACTGGACCACACACTAAGTTTATAAAACGAGTCAAGTGAGAGGCTTCAAAGTAGTAATGCGTCTCTTTTTAATAGGGTGTTCATTCATGTTTTAGCCAGCCATATTGTTTTTAACTTTTTAATTTTTACAGAAAATGTGGCCGCTTATGGATGACCAAAACTACTAATATTATTTCATAATACATATATATACATACAATATATATACAATACATTAATATACTTAATTGATATGCCACTTCGTAATAGAAGGTTTCATTGTTGATATATATATTTTTGTATTATTACAGTAAAAGCATATTACCTTTAAGCTAATTTTATTTAAGCTAAATTTAAAAAAGTTAATAGACTAGACAGTGTCTAGATAGTGTACCTAAGATGATTATATTTAGCGTCGGCAACTTGTTAGACAAAGACAGACCACTACTTCGAGCTATAAATATAAAATAAACCTTAACATAACCCAATCAGGTGCAAATTTGTAATATTGGTATATCAAAGTGCGCAATCCAGTTTATGAAATATATAAATCTGTGCAAATGAGCAATACTTGGCCAAATCAAAAGACAATTTTGGTTGAATATTACTTATTTGAGACCTTAATTGTTCGGACGGAAGTAGAATTGGAGTAGACGCCTGGTTTCAGTTTAAAATAAAACACCCTTTGAACATGCATAATATTTAAAATTGTTGTATGAAATAGCCGCAACATACATAACAATTTATTCACAATCTTCAGGCAACTGAACATTGCTACTAGCTGCTTTATTTGTCCAAACAAACATTACATTCCCTAAATCTAAAAATATAGGTAAGTACACATGCCAGCACATCAAGCTAAACATTGACGTACCTTGTTTCGTTGCAATGGAGGCGATTTTCGAACAAAAATGTGTAGTCTGATGTGCCATTGTCCGTACAATTATAATGTGTAATTATTTAATGTTACCTTATTCTTCTGGAACAGCATAGCTATACCCCCAGTGAGGGCTTTGACTGAATTTACTTTGTACTTCATAAGCGCATCAAAGTTGCATGACACAGAAGAAACTTCAATGCCTCGATTTTTGAAATCATGCTGCGCCATATGCAGAAGATGTGAATTGTGAAGTAAAGCCTTGGATGGGATGCAGCCGACATTCAAGCATGTTCCTCCAAGGGTTGGGTCTTTTTCAACACAAACAGTCTGCAATCAAGATATACAATGCTTTAATAAATATTATTTCAGAGATACAGTTAGATAAAATGTAAGGGTCGTATTCTAGAACTCTACTCAATGCTCAAGTCAGGATTGCACTGGAAACACAAGCACTGGAAATACGACCCTAATGGCAGGGACTTGAGTATGATTTTGAGTGCTTTAATCCATACTCAAATCCTGACTTGAGCATTGAGTAGAGTTCTAGAATACGACCCTAAGAGTATGTATGGTAGATTTATATTGATCCAATAGCCGGATATAATGCTACTGGATGAAAGTGTAGGAAAAGCACATTTCATTAAGCTTGAGTATAAAATTTTTATTCTACACCCAGTCCAATCATTTTAAAGAATCTTGTAATATATCATCCACAATGCAAATATTTCCTAACATTCAATAATCACAAATAGAAACCAAATGAAAACCTTCTCCAGCTATTGGTTCTCAGCGATTGTAAACTTTTTGTTGCAGACCTCCTTAATTAATAGTTCCTTAATTTATTCTAAAAGTACTAAGATGAATCTACAGAATAATTAAATTTTCATACTGTCATTTCAAATATATAAGTTACCTTGAAGCCCAATTGTGCAGCTTTAATGGCTGCCACATAACCGCCAGGTCCTGATCCAATAACGACAATGTCTGCATCATGGGTAGTTGCATAGCCTCGTGATGCTAATCGGAGACTGCCATTCTGTGCAAGTATAAATTAAATAAGTTCCCCGTAGTCTAAAGCAAAAAGGAGTATGTTGAGATTCACTATACATAAAATAGGCGCTGCGACGTACAATAACATAAGTTAAATAATTTAAATCAAAATGGAATTTTAATTTTGTTTGTTTTTTTTAGTTAACTTCGTGATTTCTGATGTTATCATTATAAATTGTCAGTTAGCATGCCAATACAGGCCTTTAACCTGATTTTCATTCAATAGTCACAATTGGCATTGCAATAAATCTGTAGCAAATTTGACATTGTTTGAGTAACATAATAAAAGTCAATACTCTGTGATGTTCTGAAAGTGACAGTTTTGCTTAGTATTTATAGTAAGTATTACGGTTTGTATTAAATATTCTTTGAAAAAATAAAGGCAAAATAATCATATATATCAAACTTTTTCAAAGTTTATAACCCCTCAGGTCATCTGTATATCAAAGTAACTTCTGCTATGATAAAATTGACATTCCCAGTAACACTTTCACATGTTACTTAGAATAGTAGATTTTACAAATAATATATATATATAGTGGTAGGATGGGGTGAATAATTGCTATTGACATGCTAAATGGCAATTAATGAAGGCACTGATTGATGGTGGTAGTAGCACTGCAACATAAACAGAGCAGTTACTAATGAGATGTTGTAAATAGAAAGTGAAGTAATATAATCTTTATTACAGAAACCTGTCGTTCCTTTTCAAATGCTAAATGTAAGGTGCTAAGGTTAGATTAATGTGAAAGTTAAAAGCCCTAGATTTTCGTACATAAATAGTAAATATTCAAAATTGGTACTAAAATTTCATTGAATATGTACATGAATGTAATAATTTATTTACCGAATTGAGAATTGCTATGATAAGACTGATAAGATTCGTATAAGATGTTCGGTCACATGTTTGAAGGTCACGATAGCTTTCCTGTTTTATTTAGGCACAAGCATTCTACTAAAGAGATAAAGATAAATTAAAAAGGTCACATTCGCAGCAATGAAGATTTTAAAAGGAACTCCTAGCACTCGCGAAATAATTGAATATAATCGTAGCCACCTATATACGGGTTACGTATTGCATAACGTTTGGAAGATTTTGTGAAGCTTACAAATAAAAATTTAAATATGAAACAAAACTTACCAGTAATGGTGCGGATGCAAGTTTAACTAATTTATAACTCATACCTATGAATTGTTTAATTGCCGGGTAGATTTATTTGGGCGATGAAAAATTATAAAGCCCTGGCGATTCGGCAACCAAACGAATGTTATTTTTGACAGTTATTGTCAAACAAATTATTGCTATTTTAAAATATTTTTGTGCACTGTGCAGTTTATGCATTTAAAAAAAGTAAATTCACACAGTGTAAAATATTATATTATACTTAGGTATGCATTGAATGACGTGTCTTTTTATTTCAGCTTTAATAGTTACTACTAAATAGTATTTTAAATGTATACTTTGCCTCTTGCAAATCTTTGGTCACTACATATTATAATGATTAAAATATTAATTATCATTGACAAATTCATATCATTCGTTAGTTTGGGTGTGTAAAAAGTAGCTACACTAAGTTGCGCGCGCCGCTGCTGCGAGTAAGTTTTGTTTACACCAATCAAATCAAGCGGAGAGCCGCACCGTAGTGCACAGTGGTTGTCTGCCTGTTTGTTGTCGAGTGAGACACGCGAATCGATGTGATATAAATTCTAACAAAATATTGTAATTTCATCACAGAAAAATCCTTTATTAAATATCTATCGTGCTTAAAATTGTTGTGGGTAGTAATAATTGCTTGCGTGTAATTTGCGGGCGAAGATTTTTGAGAAAGGTGAGTAAATTTAATAAAAATTAGATACAGTTTCATGGGGTATTTTAATTTTTTTCTCATTTTTACTTACGTTATGCTTGCCGTTTATGGTTTTTTTTTAAATCATTTGGCTTATCGTACAAAATTATTTATTTGATGTAATATTCCTTCACCTCCTTCCAATCTTTCTTTTATTTACTTACGTTAAACTAGCTTTATCCTGCGGCTTTGTCTCTGTAGCTATCGAAAGTATATAAAATGCTGACAAACGGACAGGACCAGACATAGACTAACTTATTGTCTTCAGTCGGTGCCCTGAAATATATAACAAATGTCTAATTTTCACACATTAAATGAGTTCCGCACATACATGTGTAAATGTACCGTTTTTTAATAAAAGATGTAGACACTCCTATTTGTATATACAAATATATCTCAAATATTATTTAGTTCATGTTTTTTTTTAAATCATTTGGCTTATTGTACAAAATTATTTATTTGATTTAATATTCCTCCATATCCTACCAATTTTTCTTTTATTTACTTATTTAAACTAGCTTTATCCTGAGGCTTTGTCTCTGTAGTTATCGAAAATATATAAAGTGCTGACAAACAGATAGGACCAGACATAGACTAACCTATTGTCTTCAGTCGGTGTCCTAAAATATATATTAAATGTCTAATTTTCACATATTAAATGAGTTCCGTACATACATGTGTAAATGTACCCGTTTTTAATAAAAATTTAGATAATCCTATTTGTATATACAAATATATCTCAAATATTATTTAGTTTCGTATGATAGCTCTTTTGTAGAGCTAGGTACGGTCTACTCATTGAGACAAACAGTGTGTGATTTTTTTCTTTTCTAAGTAGCAAAAAAGTATAAACTTGATGCCTATTAATATTATGCGACAGTAGAAATCTAATACATTTTAAGACTATACATCCCACTTTTTTACTCCTTTCTCTCTCTGTTGCTACTTTTTGACGCTTGATTAACGACGTATTAATATTTGTTTGTATTTATATTTCACTTAATATATTATTTTTACATTGTAATATGATTTGCATAGATGAATATATGTATAAAGAAAATATTACATGTACTTGTTAATCTGGACTTATTTAAAAAAAGAACTTGCTACACCTTTATCCGATAAACAAATTTATTGATTGATTGATTGACTTTTCGTGGTATTAAGTAATGAATATTATTACTTAAAGTTTTATGACTTGTAATTTTCCCGATATTCTGGAAAACTCCTTGGTCACGAGTTGGCATAGATAAATGTTCATATATCATAAATTGTCGACATAATGTTTATAGTAGCAGTAGAGCTCCCTGTGAAAGAGTTCATCCAGGGAAGTACTGCCACCTTACCTATTTCTGCTGCCAAGCAGTAATGTCAGCATTACTGTCTTCCGGTTTTGAAGGGTAAGGGTGCTGGTGAAATTACAGGCACATGGACGTGTCAACTTATGACTCAAAGTGTCGGGCGCAGTGGCAGTGTCCCTCAGATCTTTGCGATTTAAAACTCTAAGTGGCACTGCAACTGTTATGGACAGGTGTGTAGCTTACCATCAGACGCACTACTTGTTCGTCCCGTCACTTGACATTGTAAAAAACAGAAAATTAAATTTTGAAAAAGAAAGTTTGTGGATGGATAGAACAAAATCCTCGAGTCGTAAAGTTAATTACCTACCAGAAACGAGTTTGGAACCTCATGTAGATAGCCGACAAAGTCAACGATAAAATGACTTATTTTGTATCTTATTGGTATGCAAACAACACCAAATAAACATCAATTCTTCAGTTCATAAACAAACAATGAACACACGACGTAATGTCAACGTCGATGATTGTGGTTTCAGCTTCTCATTGTAGTAAACGTTATTGTTTTAAATCGTGAAATAAGACGAGACACGTCGTTCAAATATATTGATAACAAAATTACAATCATTGCTTATTTTAAGTTGATATGTGATTTCATTGATAACAAAGTTGTTATGCGATTATACAAAATTATGATCGCATATTGTTTAAAAACATTAACTGTACTTTAATTGGAGACTCCGTGTATTTGTGGTTCGGTTTTGTTATCTTAGTCTCATTGACGTCTTCAGAATCCGTCAAATATTATAAGTCGGTTATAGTTGCCTATAGGTACATTTTACCTGCGTAGTTGGACAGGTAATCCTGTTAGGTGGCCGTGACACGTTACCCGGTTTCAAGCCACTTGTGGACAAAAGTGGTTAGTAGTATCGGATCCGTGGTGGCGATGTGCGATACGAAGACTCGGAAAACCTCACCTGCTATTCTGGAGAAACTTGCCATCTATGAAAATGGTATAAAATAGCCCATGTAGTTTGAATCGTGTTTGTGTAGCTTTATGTTCACTTGTTTCTCAAACCTTTACATTACATTTGTGTTGTACACCCAAGGCATATAATATATACGAACGACTTATAGTACCGGCACGGTATGATGGCCGTTTTGACGTTTGTCAAGTTTCGTATTAATTCTAAATTAATTGTAATTGATGGAGCTAATTGCTGTACATTATTGTCAACTGTACATCAGTGACGAGCTGTAAAATTTATGGAATATATAAGTTTACGACACAAGTTTACGGCATTTGTTGTTCGAAATTCGAAATTTTATAAGATGAAATCTAACACGATCGTCACTTACGGGATCGTTGGCCAGCACAACTTCTACCTCCGGCGAACTCGCGTCAAAGCTTAATGCAAAACAAAGCAGTTTCGAATTGGACGATATACTATTAAGTAAACATTTTTATTTTGGTTTTATTAAAACTTGTTAATCAGCTACCCCTTGCAATACTAGTTATAAATCTTAAATAGACGTGACTCGCATTTCATTATATTTTTTTCTTCATTACATTGAATTGAGATTTGACCTCACTATTGTACAGAACGGCCGGTACTGTAATAAATAAGCCTTTACTCCGCAACAACTTAGTTAATAATTTAGTCGCAATAGAGCTCCTTGTGAAAGAGTTCGTCCAGGCTTACCATTTCTACCGCCAAGCAGTAATGTGAGCCGCGTAAATTGCCGCGTTCCAGTTTTAAAGGTTTAAGGGTGGTGATGAAATTACAAGCACATGGGACTTGTCAACTTATGTCTCAGGCTGACGGGCTCAGTGACAGTGCCCCTCAAATATCTGCGATTTAAAGCCCTGAGTTGCACTGCAACTGTTATGGACTGGCGTGTCGCTTACCACCAGACGCACGACTTGTTCGTTCCGTCACTTGGTATCATAAAAATACCTATCAACATTTCATGGTAGTCTTTAAGAAGAGATTTCATATGAGGACTTCTTAAATTATAAGACCAACGCCTCTTTATCCATTTCTGTCGATTGGTATTTGGTACAACGGTACAACCTTTGCTTTTGTATTACATGCGGATTGAATTCAGCATTGTATTTGACCATTAGTAATTAATTAGTAATGCATAATACAATAGTAGGCACATCCCATAAATGTTTGTGATATAATTTACTATCAAAAGTCATGTACTTCTACTTATTCGTATTGTAATGACAACCCGATTGCCAAATTATGCTTTTAGCGTATTCGTAGTACTATACGGCTAGTTGTCATTTGGCACACGTAGCACTGCGGGTTAGACAAAAGCACAACCTGTTCGCTTTCACGCCTCATGGTTGTGACACCTGATCGCTGTGACATACTGCACCAGTCCCGGACTTTATTGTAAAACGTCTTCCTCTTGCGTATTTTTATTGCCTTTGTAGAATAATGTAGCTAAATATTTACTACAATCAATTCATTTACATGTGTGGATTGTTTATAAAATTGTGCATATGTGAGTAGCAGTAGCGAGTTCATATAACTCGATTTCCACCGGCTTGCCTAAAATTTTCAACTTATTATCAAATACTACATTTTGTGCTAAATGTTATGTGTACAATAAGTTAACCAGTGAAATGAAGTATACTAGTACCTTGTGTGCTAATAAGTCGTGTTTAAGTGTCGCCAAGGCACCACTTTTTATTAAGATAGGTGTTTTTAGTTTTGCTCCGGCTTTACTAACGACAATTTTCACGCATCGCCACTGGTAAGTAGTTAACACATTAAATGAACTAATTACTTAGAACATATTAGAACAATTACTATTGTACTGCATTTTCTAATACATAAAATAAATGATGATATAAACGACATAATTGAACATAAGCATATATCTACATAGCTGTAATAACAATAACCGTATCCGTCCTCAAAAAACACCATTAGTCGGTACTTGATAAAAGCTTATTGTTTAGAAATAGTTTCAATGGGACGATGAACAACGTCACAGTAACTGTCAATGTTGGTTGGGAATGCCCTTCCTAGATTTACAGTAATTTGTTGTTCGCGTATCGCTACATGTATGTGAAAGGAGATTAGCCCCGCTTTAATCTATACCGTCTCGTAAAGACAAGTTCCTGTTATCTCAACAACGTATTATCATTCAGAATACGCTCTGGCAGCAGTCGCACTCGTTAATATATCTCGACAAACCGTGTTGTAGTTGTCGCTAAGCAAAATGTTACATAACGTTGATAATGCCGAAGAAACGAGTGAAAAAGACCCAAGTATGTATTGCAACGTAATTTAACAGCAAGTGCAATTTTGTAATTACAAAAACTATTTTGTGAAATTGTAGTCAAATTAAAATTGTTTGGCATTTACAGTGAACTTTTGTTGACGGTTTTATTTTTGTACGATGTGCCTACGTGCGACTATGCGGACACTACAGTTATCTTTTGTACATCGCATGACAATACGCCGTTGGTGCATTTCGTATGCAAGCCGGGACATTTGGCACGGGGGCCGAACAAAGGGCCTAGCATAGAGGATAAGCTGCTAGCACCATGGGTGGCGGGATATCTTTCCTTTTTCAAGACAGTCTATTTCTAGGCCTTAGTTAAACTTAGTTATAATATGTGACACGCGGATATCGCCGTGGGAATATATTATTAGAACAATA